TAAAACATGTTTTTGTGAATCTAGTATTCTCGGCAACCTTCGATCAGAATAAATATATAAAATGGTGAAATTTACATAATTAAGGTGATCTTAAGCATTATTCATTATCATATATTACAGCAATAATAAACTACGCATTAATCTTATACTTTTCTCTCTTTTTTTTCATAAATATTGACATGTATTATTCATCATAAACAAATTAAAATGAATATTCCTGTCATATAGTTTATAACTAAGAGCTTCGGCATCACAGTTTACAAAATCATTTTAATAAATTTCATCGCACATATATGAGGCAGATAAAAGAAAAAATATAAAATTTCAAAATGAGGGAAGTGTCTAACAGTTCAGAAGGCGTGTCATATGTCTAGAATTTCCAAACTTCAAGAAAATTTGATTTTGTGATTAATGTTGGTATCTCAAAGAAAAAAAAAACAACTTGCATGCATGAAAGTATAACTAATAGAACAGCAAGGAAGACGTATTCAATGTACATAGGAATTTAATTATGTTTCCCCAGATACGATTACTGTAGTTTATGCCAACGAAGATACGATATTAACGTCTAAAGAGAATGAAAAAAATAAAAAATGAAGTAGCATAAGAGATTCAGATTCCAAAATAGTATGATGGGTATTAACGTCTATATGTTGTTTGATATTGCAAAAGCTGGACAATGGCTGTAATGCACAAAATAGAGGTGATCAAATCCTTTAAAATTGAAGCCACAATTAATTCATCTTAGTTAAATTCTAAAATAAATTAATGTTAAAAATTTATTTTTAGAATAAATATTTTTAATCAAATGAATTTATAATATATATATATTAATAAAATAATATTATTTTTATTTTATTTAAAAATAATAATTATTTTATAAAGTAATCCGTCAATAAATCTACAAATAAGAGTGATATAAATTTATTTAAGATCATGATTTAATATTAGATCAAAATAAATTTAATTTAATTTAAACGACATAATTTTTTATCCAGATCACCTCTTTTTCCTGGAATTAAAATATTATATATATATATATATATATATAATAAAAACAAAATAAAATAGAACAAATTATTTTAAAAGAATAAGATAAAAGAAGAAAATTTATTTAAAAAATAATAAACAAATTAATTAAAATTAAGTACTTATATAAATTAAAATTACTCATACGTTAATTTTATAAAAAATAAGAAAAATATTATTTTGAAAAATAATATATTTTTTTATTTATATTTATATATAAGTGGAAATAGAATATATAAGATCTACATTTTTATTTATTATTTTTTTATTAAAAAATATATCTTATTTTTTTTTCTTGCACCATTTATTATATATTCTGCACTTTCCTTCTTACCAACGTATACTAAACAAAATAGCTACCTACTTATGCATTACATACCTTTCAAACTTTTGATAAAAAAATAAAACCCATATGAAGATATATTTTTTATACGTTTAAACATAATTTGACATAAAAAAAAATTGGTCTTATTAATTGCCAACACATGTAACTTATTTTATATATTAAATAAATAATTCATATAAATTCCTCATCATTATGTTGACTTTGTCATTGTATTAATTTACAATTTAAAACTTTTTATTGATGATCTAAATTTCGAGTTTTAATACTCCTGTTAATTCACAAACTTTTCAAGTTTTAATTAAAATTATATAAAATCAAATTAATAATATTATTTATATAAATAATTTTCACTTTTTTAAGTATCTCCATACGTAAAATTTATATTAAAATATTTTTTTAGTTATAAATTTTTTTCTTAATAATTCTTACTTAAAAATACACAGATATATTTTGGCGCGCTCTCATTGTGGAGGATTATAATTAGAAGTAGTGGAGGGTTTATTAACATTTTTTTGAACTAAACTCATACCAAATTAAGTTGTATTGAAAAAAAAATCAATAGTCTTTTAGAAAAAAATTCTTCTAATTTATTTTTTAAAAACTAAATTATTCCTTAACTATTTGGACTGAATTGAATCATAATTTTTAAAAATTAAAGAATTAAGTACGTTTTTAGTCCTTGTACTTTTATGTGAAATTGAAAATAATCCATCTGTTAAAGTTTACATAAAAATGATCCATATACTTTTGAAATGGTTGAAATAGGTCTCTATTTTAAGTGACATTAAATATATGGTGACACTGTCTAATAGAGATAATATGACTCATTCATTATTTGACATGTGTAATTATTAAAAAAAACTCTTCTTTAAAAAAAATAGAAATTATTTAACAGAGATTATTATTTAAAAAAAACTAAATTAAAAAGTAAATTTTTTTATTTTTTCCTCACGTACCAAAGCTCTCTAGTTCTCGTCACATCCATTTTTCATTCTTTTTTGTTTTTCTCATCACAGCTACTTTTCGTTCTCTCTTCTTTTCTCGTAACACACTAAGGGTCTTTTCTTTCTTCCTCTTTCTTTGTAAATGTTGTATGAAGTCAAAGTGACTTTGAAGTTCGAGGGTTTTATCAGTTCTTTGGGTTTGACTGACAGTGCGACGGTGGTGCACAACCAGTGGCGGATCTTGACAATTGATCTTGGAGGGACCAAATAATATATTATTAATAAATAATAAATAAATATAAAATGAAGTAAGAATATGAAAGGGTGAAAGGATAAAATTGTAAATATATACTTAAATATATTAAATGATCATTAAGTTTGAGGGGGACAAAATCATAAATTATATGAGAGTTACAAAGCGAGGAGAGTTTGAGAGGATAAAATTGTAAATATACAAGTAAATATATTAAATTTTCATTAAGTTTGGGGGCCAAAATCATAAATTACATGGGAGTTACAAAACTTTGGGGGTCACGACCCCTCAGCTCCAAAGAAGATCCGCCACTGTGCACAACGACAATATGCGAAGATTTCTTGTTATTCAAATATAGGGGAAAACCAAATCTGCATCTTCCAGAAAAAAACCAGCTACATCTATAGACACTGTAGCTGTTGAAACAGTGGATAAGAGGTAACCCAAATCTACCACCAATATTCGAACACTAAGAAGGAGAGGGAGACCACCAACATTAGGCTCCCAAGCCAGCTCCAACAACCCCACTGCCTAATCCACATGAAATTTAATGGTTTTTGTAATGTAAATTACTTGGGTATTGTAATATGAAGCGGTTCATACTACTTTTGTAATGTAAAGTAGTTTACTGTTTTGTAGTTTTGTTTCTGTTATGGTCAATCATTATGGTCCACTTTTTTTATGTATTACTTTAAAAACAGTGTGGTTCAACTTTATTGCAGTACTTTATGTGGACAAATTCTTATATTAAATTACATATTTTCTCTTGTTTCCCTCCACTTGGTTGAATGTGACTTGGTTGAATATGAGATAAGATTGAAACATGATTCTGGATGTTATGGGTAGACATTAAAAAAATAAAGAAAAATGTTAAATGTAGGAACATGTATTTGAATGGTACATGTATGTGCGGGAACATGTATGATACACTTCATTTTTAAATAATGCAAAATCTAATTCATTTTAAAGATGAATTGTATTTAAATTTAAAAGGAATGATCTGGACATAGATTCATTCTTAAATGACTTTTAAATGCTTTAAATTTGGATTTAAATAGCTTATAAATGGCAGAAAAATTTTAATTTCTTTTTTAAATGGCTTTTAAATAATTTTTAAATGTTATAAATGCGGATTTAAATGACTTTTAAAAGTTTGATACCTTTTAATTTTATTTAATTTTTTAAAAATAATTACACGTGTCAAATAATGAATGAGTCATATCATTTATATTAGACAGATCAGCATATACTTAACCCCGTTTAAAATAGGGACTTATTTCAATCATTTCAAAAGTATAGAGATCATTTTTATGTGAACTATGACAGATTGACTATTTTCAATTTCACATAAAAGTATAAGGACTAAAAACATGCTTAACCTAAAATTAAAATATATGTTTTAAAATTAGATATCAATTTATAATAATTTAAATAGTTAAAAAAAGCATAATAATATTTAATTAATAATACAATTTTATTCATCTTATGAAATATACAAATAAGTTTGATTAAACCTATTTAAAAATTTAATTCAATTTGACAATAGCTTGGTTTCCTTTTGTTTTATTATCACTCCAACACTAATAATATACATTAATCTACACTAATATATATATAGTTACTCTTAGATTCACATTATTAGTCACCAGAGTATTAGGATTTCTTGATATTGTTTTATTAAGGTCATTACTTTGAAGATATGTCTATTTATAATATTATATATGATTTAATTTTTTATTTTTAAAAGATATTAAAAATTTGAAAAAATAACTGAGGTGGTTTTTTCAAATAAAAGAAAAAGAAAAAAGACAACCGTGTGTGATTAGATTATTGATATATGCACAAAAGTTAATCTCAGATTCTATATTTTAGATTTTATTGTTGTTATTAGGCAATAAAATTTGTGATTAATCAAGATAAATACAGGAATATATATATATATATATATAAAGAGTGATAAGTGATAACTCTTGAAGGAATGAACTTTTGTGTTTAAAATAAAATAATAACTTTTAAAAACGATTAATTTTTTTATTAAAATAATTGCTTGTGGCTGACGTGTCTGGCCACTGACATTCATAACAGGAAGCTCAATGTTTTTAATTGTTTATATTTCTCCGTTCTAAAAAGTAAAAAATACAAAACAAAATTGAAAAATTCCAAGTTGGGGCTCTCACGATTTCGATTCCCCCTTTCTCCCACAAACTCCGATTCTCCTTGTTAAGAGCGGTGCCAGGTTCGATCTTTTCGTTTTCTAATTCTTAATGTATCTTGCACGTTTTGTCGATCTGTTTACTGTGCATTTGATCCAACGCAAGTTCGTCGCTTTTTGATTGAAAATTAGATTTTCAGATAGATACCCTTTGTGTTTTCAATTGATGGGGTTTGTCTGGTGATTGTATAGGATTGTTTTAGAAGTATATAGAGGATGGGGGCAATGATGTCGAGGTTCTGGTTCATGTTGTTCCCTGCAAAAGAGTATAAGATTGTTGTTGTTGGATTGGATAACGCTGGAAAAACCACGACCCTTTACAAATTGCATCTGGGTGAGGTTGTAACTACCAACCCTACTGTTGGTAGCAACGTTGAAGAGCTCGTCTACAAGAATATACGATTTGAGGTCCGTACACCTATCACTTTACTAATTTATTTATTCATGTATTTTGTTTTATTTTGTTGTTCTTGCTAGGAGGGTTTGATGTTGTTGCCGAATATATGCATGTGAGTATGAGGATTTGTCTCTGCTTACTTTCTTATTGATATTAATTAGTCAATCATATGTTCTAAGTTCATAAATTTGGCAGCACACACATTTAGTTATCTAGAGCATTCAACAATCATAGAAAACTCAAAAATTTGCCATTTGACTTCTCCCCTAATGGCTGTTACGGTTCGATGAAAACTGTGTTTCGTTGTCCTTTGGACCAGATGCATCACTTTGTCCTGGACTTGTCACAAAATAAAATGCGTTTGGGTGAGTTCTTGTAAACATGATTTCGACTGAATTGATGTAAAATTGACTTTGAAGTGAAATGATTTTGATAAAAGCAATGTTTGAATACGTTGATAAAAGTCACTTTTAGACGTGTAATTATACAAAAGCAGTAAAAACTATGTCTTTTCTAATTTCATTAATTTAGCTGTATGAATCATACACCACCATAAAGTTCTGTCATGTATCCGTGGAAAGACAGGCCATTTACCTCTAAATGTCTCCCAAGTTTAACTAGTAATTTTCTTCGTACCTTTAAGCATTGGGTTATCTTGCATGAGGGGTCAACTGCCTCCTCATGCCCAAACCATCAAAGAAAAGTTTTACCAATTTTTCTACTATGGGAGGTCTCAACTTTCTCTTGAATGATTGTATTCATAGTCTATCTTGTCTTGTGTAACCACTCTTTCATTGTATTGTAGCATTCTCATTTTGCATCATTAAATTTGCCCACCCTTCCTAATACTGACATATAAAGATTATTTAAGTAACATACTGATATTGGATTATGGTGTTAGTGGTTTTGCTTTTCACTGCAAAACTGAAATATCAAAACTTTGATTTGAAGTGCAAAATTGACTGTTTACTATTTTACCAAAAGTGTTGGTACGATAAACATCGCTTGTTTGCATCCACTGAAATAGCTTTAATGGATGCCAATGTTTTTCCAATTGCTGGCTACTGCTTGGCTACCTTGATTCTCTACAAACTCCAACAACAATTTGGCATTTGATGTTGTTAGACGCAAGTTGTTTCTGTATGAACACTGGATAATCACATAAATTAACACAGTCTTTGCTTTGTCTTTATAACAAACAAGTGTTTTAGGCGGAGTACAATGGCATCAATTAATTCGTGTAGTCAATCTAACGTAGAAAGAAAAGAGATGATCATTTCTTTCTCTTGTGACAACAAAAAGGGAGGGTGCCAGTAAGTTATAGCATTTATATCCACTTTTTTGAACCTTTGAGTATGGGCCAGCATTTTAAACCTTTTTTGAGTCGTTTGTTTGCCATTTTCTTTCCGTCCTGGTGAAAAGGATGGATCTGGTTTTAATAGCAATCCACATGAATGTTTTAAACTACATTTGATATTGAGTATTCTATGTTTTACCACTGTGTATGTTGAAGCATTACACACTCCACATTGTCATTCATTTTCAGGTCTGGGATCTTGGTGGACAAGAAAGACTTAGGACATCATGGGCAACATATTACCGAGGAACTCATGCTGTTATTGCGGTTATAGACAGCAATGATAGAACGAGGATCTCTGTCATGAAGGATGAACTTTTTAGGTTGCTGGGGCATGAAGATTTACAAAATTCTGTTATTCTTGTCTTTGCTAACAAACAAGATATCAAGGATGCTATGACTCCTGCTGAGATCACTGATGCATTATCTCTTCACAGTATCAAGGATCATGATTGGCATATACAGGCTTGTTGTGCCCTCACCGGAGAAGGGTTGTATGATGGTCTTGGATGGATTGCCCAGCGAGTAACGGGCAAAGCCCCAACATGATGTTGGGCTGCTGGAAACCTGGGATATTCATTTTTCATGTATTGAATTTATAAGACGAGGGACAAAACTCTTATGTATCATTTATACTTCAAAGAGTCAAGCAAAGATAATGTGTTTGATTTTCTATATATGAAGAAAAAGATTATCCAATAATCTGAGTAAGACTCGTTTTTTAATCCTCAATCTAGTTTATTATTTAGGTAAGATGAATGCGTGAAAGGAGTGGATTTTAATCATATAACTTAATTGCTAGTTTAAGATTAGAGCTACTTAAAACAATTTTGATCATTCATAAATGAGGTTATAAGGTTAACTTTCTTATTTTTGCCCGACATATGCTCTATATGTGTGTGGACACATGTGTTTAATGGAAGTATTTCATGTTAAGAAAAATAATATTCATTCCATTGTTTGGTTTGAAAATTATAAAGAATGTATACAATTTTCTTTTCGTAATAATAGGTATAACAAGAAGTTTCTGCACTGCATCTTCTGTGCACTCGCCAGTTACTGCTACCTGCATAACTCTGGCATATTATTCCGCATTCTTATTTCTCAGTCTATTGAAGTTTTTGATGCAATGGAAGATTGCGTTGAACTTAAAATAATGAAATATACATGGTACAAACCTGCAATCATATAAACGAATTTAAGGTAACCAATTATAACCAAGACCTAATATTACTCTAAAACTAAGAGATTTGTCACAAATATTTCATCTTTCAGTTGAAAATTTTGTTTCTATAGATAGAGAATTTGACGAGTCTCCGAAAGTGAAGCATGATCCACACTATTTAAAAGATTTTTTTTAAAAGAACACTTCCCCAATAAAAATAAAAAGTGCACGTAGATGCGAGTGTAGATGTCTATCACAAGAACGGTTCTCCTAACAAATTAAATTCTTGGTTTACACTAATAACGATGAAAGAGATCCAAGTTCACTTTTGAAGTTGAATTATCCAAAAGCTAATGTGCTTCTGCATTAAACAGTATTTTTAATACAGTGTAAATTAAAAGTGAAAATCAACTCATCAAAACATATTTCTCATGTTGGAGATCACCAATACTCAATGATGTTAAAATAATAATCGAATATAACTTAGTTAAAGTAATCGTTTTTAATGCAGCACTACTCTGTCATCGGTCTTATCAGTAGGCAAAAAAAACAAAAGGAGCACAATATTTTGTTGATTCCTCCAGACATAGCTCACGGATGTAGAGGCATCTGGCACATGGTCTATATATGTCTACTAAAGGATTAGCATGAGAACATATTATATACATACGAAACTTGGCATATCTGAAATAGGCATGCATCCCTCCAACTAAAAAACTGAAGCTAGCTAGATTCACAAGGCAAGGCTAATGATTTAGATGCAAAATTGTCATCCTGAAAGCAGCTCTTGCCCGATAAGTTGACAAGATGGAAAGATGCTTGAAAGAATCATGTTACCATCATAGTTATTTTAATGATGTACACATAAAAAATTTAACCTCCATGTCCTACCCCAATTTCATTCTCTAATCTCAGATGGCCATGCCCTTTGGAACAATTTTGTTCTTGATCCAAATGTAAATTGAAACTAGTACATAGTAAGTAGCTGCAATTGTACCAAGAATGAATCGCGAGAGAAACAACAAAGGATTTACAAGCTTTTTCGCATCCGCTGCCTTAGGACCAAGCTGCATAAAGACATGCATTATGGATAGCCACACTTCAAAATTGCACAAAACATAAAAAGTAGGGAAAACAAGCTTCCAAACAAGGTATATTACACCTATTAGTGAACATTGCCTTGCATAGTATATTGGTATAACATCTTAGGGTGTATATAGTGGATTCAGGGACGTAATGCTGGCTGCTAAAGAAAATGCATCCACAAAAATCTCTGGAGCTACATCATTAGCCAGCTAAAGTAATAGGCATAAGGGAGTGTTTAGAAGAGTTTGTTTGTAAAAAGCTTATTGAACTTGAAAAATATCATATCATATAATTTCCATAAATTTTTAATAAGTTTCTTGATAAGGTTTATAACTTAATAAAAGGAGTTTATTAAATAAACATTTAATTGAAGTGTTTATCCAAACGCTCCGAAGTCACTGGCTCATAATTTTCTTTGAGAAAATCAAATTGGCTCCCTTGTTAATTAATACTTTGAAGTCTGAACTGTTAAAACAAAGGGTTGCTTTCTGGGTTCATGTTCTTTTTTATCCATCCACATTTAAGAGACAATTCCTTTCTCTTTTCATTGTTGCTTTTACAAGAGAATAAGAAGGGCAGCGAAAAAGCAGCTGCGATGTACAACTAAAGTTCAACACAAAAGCTCAACCCTAGATGAAGGGTGACATCAAACCTGAATATCCTATATGTCTATCATTATTTTAAACTCAAAATATTTATTTTCTTCTCCAAAAAAATAAAAATTCTTCTGGTTTCTTAGCTCCGTACACAAATGGCATTCAGAATCCCAAATCCAAGGAAAAGCAAACATTGTTCACAATTGCTACTTCAGAACAAGCATATGTGAACTGTAGAATCGGAAAGCTTTTAATAAAAATCTATATCCTACTTCTGAACCAATTCTTTTCAACAAGGTCCTGAATTTTAACTCTTTAAGTAGCATATTAGACAAAAGTCCAATTCCTCATCAACAATGCCCTGAATCCATTTGAAGATAATCACTAATATCATGTGTTATGGAGATCAAGATAATCCCTCTGTTTAGAAGAGTACTATCAAAAGTTCACCACTAGCATGTAATGTAACTGTGTTTACGTATCTGAAAAAAAATAAAAATAAAAAAAATCTGAAGGCTTTCAGGAGATTTAATGGTCTGAATTTTGGCATAAAATGTTGAACTTTAGAAGGAAAAGTACATTACCTTGAGCGGAGAGTCCCCAGATAAAGGCTTGATTCCAGTCACAGAGCAACCCATGATGAGGCCATGACGCCGTACACCACGATACCATTTTGGACCTATCCTTTTCATCTTGATATCTTTGAAACCAGCCTTTTTTAACCATTCAGTATACTCTTCCTCCTTCGGGAAGAGCATCCACATATCTGCAAAGAATCTAGACAACCAAAAAGTTGGGTATATAGGACCTATAATACATGCTTTGCCTCCTATTTTCAGCACTCTGTATGCTTCCTTAATGCCACGCTGTGGGTCAGGCCAATATCCAATACTGAAGAACGTCATCATATAAGACTAGCCAATTTGTAAGGGTTGCTAACATTTTATCATGAAAACTAGCTTTTTATTTTTATTATCTGGCTGATGATTATGAAGTTACATATTTAGATATAGTAAAAGATACATATTTCAAATTTTTTGGGTCCAATGATCATAAGATTTACTTATATGCCGACTTTTAAAACCCAATTAGCATCCGCTATCAACTATTATAGTATAAATATGGCAAAAACTAATAACAGTTCGAATGCAACATTTACATTAATCATTCAAAAGCTTGAGTTACTGGTCCAAACTCCGAACCTTGCCAGAGAACTCATAACGTTAACTTAATAGTTAAGTTATCCACCACCAAGGCCAGCTTAGCAGTGAAGGGTTTACATAATTTGTATGAAGTCTTAAGTTCAAACCTTATTATCATCGTGTACACAAAGAAAAACAGTGAAGTTAGCTCACTAACACTTGAGACAAAATTACCAAACCACAAATCTTAATTGCAGCACAGTAAGTGTGAGTGGTACAGTAACAAAATTCTTCAAAGAGACAAAATGTCACCATATTACCTTCCAGCAGAAATATATCGATCAGCATAGTCAGTTGGAAGTGGAAGATCTCCCGCACCACCCTCAACTATCTTGCATTCTTTCAAGGGTTCCTTCTCGTTGGCTTTGACCTTCACGAGTTGGTGAGGGGACTGGTCAAGAATTATAACATTTTAGCATCCACATGCTTCACTATACCAAGAGTGGTGAATGCAGTTCCTCCCTCAACATCCACCACTCTCATCTTACGGTCATTGAGATCAGCAGAATCCAATGCATCATCTCTCATGTCCTCAGTCCAGTGACAAGGATTTATGACATGATCATACGCAATAGTAGCCAAAAACTTGAAGAACCAAAACGCCTCCTTCTTGTGTTGGATGAATTCAGGCTGAGAAGCAGACCTCAATGATGAGACGCTGCATCTGGGTGTCACGTATTTGTTGCCATAAGACAAAACATTCTGCTTGTAGAAGCACCTCTTGTGAAAGTTAAGACCCAATGAGCCTAACCCGGATGGAGATATCCGACTAATGAGCTTTGTACTTTCAGCTCCACTGAGAATTAAGAAGGCCATGAAGTGACAACGATGAGAAAAGTGGGAGCAATACTGATGGTTCAATGCAGTTATTATATCATAGAAACAAGACAAGGATGGTTTGGAAATAGAAAGTGACTTGGAAAATGGTAAGGCATGTTAAGGACTACGCAAGGAAAGATAAAGACACGGAACTTGGTACTGCTGAAATAAAAGTGGATACACACCACATAACAGAAGCTAGCGCTGATCAGTTCTTTCTGGCAGTAGTTGTTCATCTCTTGTTCTATTCACCACTGAACCGTTCCCATCGTATGAAAGCTCAATTTCTTGGATTTTTCTTATATTTTCTGTTTTTGGTGCAGTTGATACGCACATGCACACCCAATGTTTTATATTGCGGATTCTGCATGCTTGACATTACAAAAAAGAATTACAGATTAATGTTACTAATTGATGCAGCCTAACCCGATTGCATATTGTAGACCACTCTGCAGCTAGAAAACACGCTCTTCTAGTCACGATAATAACTATTGGGTTTTTTTTTTTTAGGAGACCTATTTGATAAATTGGAATCCTTATTTAATAAAATTAATATCAATTTTACCTAATAATATGAGTTACATAATGCTAAAATTTCTTTATTGTATTTGGCATGCTAAACATATATCCACACGACCTTTTGAGGATATGGCAAAACCAAACTATATGGGAGAATATTAGTAATAAAAATTGGTCAGTGAACTTATCTATGAAAAGTTTTACTCAGCTACAAAAAAAAAAATTATAAAAAAACTAAGCTTTCTTAACTCTTAATGAAGCATGGGAAAGAAATTAGTTACTGATTTAATTATGTCTAGGTTAACTATTTTTTTAAAAGGAACTGGACTATAATATTCAATATGCATCATAATTCTCTCAGGCCCAGACATTATTGAGACAGCCAAGTATTTCTTATACTTTTTCTTCATAAGTTTACTTTATATATAAAATTAACAGTGATAGGTGTAGAGAAACCAAATGTTTTTTTTCTTATTTTTAATAAAAAAGGTAATTAAAAATATATAATTTTCTATTTTGTCCATATTTTATTTTCTTCTCGTATTTTTGGAGAAAAATAGTAAAAAAAAAAAAAGTTAGTTTTCAAAAATGCATTATTTTTTTTTATGTTTATCCTAAATAAATATATGCATAATTTTATAATTATATGATTATTTACTTTTTTATTTTTAAAATATAATTTTTCTTCCTTGCGTGAATAATTATATTTTTGTTAACTGCAACATACTTCTTCTTGTAGAGAAAATGATAAATATATAATTTTTTTTACTTTGATAAAATATTTATAGAATTCTCTATTTTACTGTTTTTATTTACAGATGACAGTAAAATTAATTAAATATAAATATTAAGTGACTATAGAGGAATAAATAACAAAAGAGTAATCAATGTTATCTGGAAATTTAAAAATTACAGTTGAATAAAAATAAAAACATTTAAATTTTGGATAGTTAAATAAAAATAGATAAAGTACATCACATCAACATATTATATATCAAGTAAGATTATATAAAATAAATATTTTAATCTAAATTATATGTTTTCATATAATATAATTATTAACCCCTCTTATTTCTCATAAGAATTTTTTATATGTTTAAATGATTTAGTTAAAAACTTTGATAAAAATTATTATATTCGAAAGCAAAACATTCAGAATATATCAGTGTTCAAGATCTTTTTAAAGTCAAAGAAATCATTTTTAACTAATCTGTCAGTTAGCGGTCCTTGTTTGTGAGGTCTTTAATTTTCTAAACTCATGAGATGAGATTGTCTACTTTTTCAAGGGGTGTGTTTATAGACACTACATTCATTCTCTAAGGAGTATAAGCTGCATCAAAACAATAATAATTTTTAAAGGAGTTGTGAAGAATCAACCTCTATCAATTTGGCACCACATTCACTTTGGACTGGGAATTTTCCACGTAATTTTTTCTACAGACAGAGCCAGTTTTAGAAAGCAGTAAGCAGGCAACAGCTGCATAACTAGAATTGTAGCCTTACTGAAAGCAACACCGGGAAGAGTGTGAATCTAGTCCAGCTAGTCTAGTACCAATTCTATTCATCATCATGAAAAGCAGACACAATCATTAACACGAAGAAAAGTTCATCCCAAGCACACTAAGGCACATATTTTACACTTCACTGCACATGTTGTATGCATGTGACTGACCAATATGCAGACAAAAATAAATTGAAGGCAGTGATAGCTAACCCCAAATTCATGTCCAATGAGCTTCATATGTTTATGGACAGATATACAACTACTCCTTATGCTTTTGTTGCATAATTAAGCAAACATGATAGTATAAACGTGGATCCCCAGAAGAGTGAGTGTAGCACCATTAGTCAAAGGCAGTAATCATAAAGAAGCAAGAAAGAACATTGGAAAAGCGTAGAGCATGATGATCTAAGTGCCAAATTAGAATAAGGACAAACATTTATTTGGCTTATTAGGCTGTTAGAATAAGGAGACCAATCAGCTGCTGCTAGCTGTGCACTTCCATATCATGCTCAATGATAGAGATGAGATTGTTGCTCAAAATCTAACACAATGAATTCATAAGGCATCTTAAGAGGGCCAAGCCAACTCCATCCACTCCACAAAACAGCCATTTTCATAAAGCAAAAGGAAGATAAGAAGTGTGCACTGTGCAGCAACATGCCAAGCTCACCCAAGAAAGTGTCTTGAAAGAAAGTTAATGATTTCAAGTTACCTCAACAGATAACAGAAGGTGTCCCACATTCAAGTGTGCATGGCATGATATGATATTATATATACATATTTATGATCACAAAAATCCCAGATAAAGGGCTTTTTTCAAGAAAGGCTACAATTGTTTGACTCTATTTCTACTTTATCATCTCTGTACCAAGAAAACTCAAATTCAAAAGTTTTACAATTTTTTTTAGTTTAAGTTAGGTCCAGTGAGATAAATACTAACAAATTCCAATTTAGCTGAATTGTTATTGGTTCATCTTTCACCTAATGCATTGTTGTTAAGATGGAGATAGGTTAATTAGCTGTTTCTCCTTTTGACCAAGAAAACATTACTCCAATCTTAACAACTAATCTCCCTCCTCACATACACATTATTCAAGTTAAGATAGGTTTAACTTTATATACGCCAAAAACATAAACAATACAATTCCTTTTTACAAGTTATTTTTTGTTCTTGAATGGAAATATAAATTTATTAAAATCAAATCAGACTATAAATCCACAATATACAGAAGTTACCAAAAATGTTAACTTGGTTCATTTTAACAATAATGATCTTTTAATTTAAAAAATATAGAATGTTTGAGATTTGAATTGTTTTAATTTCAAAATTGTTTACTGTTTTAAATATTTCATTTCAATAAATCAATTTAAATTTCTTAATTTTTGAATTAGTGGTTTAGATAGGAATATTTAATGTTTACTCTATGTAAATGTTTACTATATTCTTAGAATTTTATCATTAATTTTTTGAAAATAGTATTAGTTCAAATTTAAATATTTAATAATTACAAATTATATTATATGATATCTACTAATTCAAAAATATATATTGACATTTTTTTAGTAAATTTTGATAGAATGGTTAAAGTTAGAAAGATAGGAGAGAAGTAACCGATAGAAGAAAAAAATCAATATCATTAAATTTGATGAGACATTGAACCAATGAAGTCTATAGTTAAAAATTTAATTGTGGAACTATAGTTAGATTATGTTTGAACGTGTATTATCAAAATAATCTTGTAATTTAATAGTTTTTAATTACAAATACAAATATAAACCCTATAAACTAAAAACAAATCATATGTTACAGTTTTAAAGATTCAAACTACATGTAAAAATATAAATTAATTATATTATAATAACTTACCTCTAAGTTTAAATAATACTAATACACAATAATATTATTTTAAAGATACAGCAAGTTCAAATCTTAAATAAAAATAAAATAATAAATACTTTTAATTATTTTAAGAAAACTCAAAATATTTTTGTATTAATAGTTTTTAAAAAATTGAAAATATTTTTACCCACCTATTATAGACCTAATTTTTACTAATTTTTAAATCAGGTCAACTTTAGGATAATTTTCTATTTGAAAACAAATCATATATGTAGTTACTTTCTCGTTGAAGCAGACAAATTTTAAAATATAATAAAAAGTGGAAAGAGAAAGAAATAAGATAGAAATCGGTGAGAAATTATAGAGAAAAAAGAGTGTGAAAAATGAGAAAAAGAAAATAGAAAATATATATTTGAAGAAGAGTCATAAACAAATTAAGAAAATTATACATTTTTTAGTTTAATACAATTTTCAAAATATTTTAATGAAATTTTATCTTTTTTAAAAATCATTCAAATAACATTTCACCACAAAATATTTTTAAAATGTAATGATTATCTTATAATTTTCATAATATACAAAAATAATATTATTAATTAATTATATAAAAATTTACATAGGAAATCGTTATATTCCTGTAAACTAATATATTGTTTAGTAAACTTTAAATAAATTTTTTATTCAATAGAAATACGTTTTAGAGAAGTATTAAGTATCCAGTAAAAAATGGAAAATACAAATAAAAAAGAATTCATTAAAGTCATATCATATGTGACATTATTAAAAACTGGTGGGACTTGGGAGTAGCAGGTTGTAGATAAAATAATGTCATTTTACCGTACTATATACTTCTTTAATGTTGCTATGTTTGAACTTTTCATTCATTCATATTTCTGAATTATTAATATATATGTTGTATGAGACACATTCAATACGTAGAACCAGTTAATAATAATAATAATAATAATAATAATAATTATTATTATTATTATTATTATTATTATTATTATTATTATTGCAACATTTGGTCTCATATAATTTATATGTCTAATAATTTTTTTGTGAAGAATTTTAGAGGAATACGAGTTTGTTTTAGAATAAAATTAAATATTTTTTATAAATTTTATTAAAAAATAGTTTAAATTTTATTTAGAATTATTTATATAATTTTTTTTTATTTTAAATAATTTTCTTTATTTTTAAACATTTTATATATATAGAATTTATAATAAAATATTCATTTATATTTTTAAACAATTCTTCTTCACAACTTCTAACATGATAAATATTACATTAGAAAATCAACATACTATAAATCAAACTTCAAATTTTCGGGTTAAAACTCAGAAGGAGTCAATTGAAGTAGATGTTGACATGCTTAGGATTATGCTTCTTCATTTTTTTCATTATTAACTTAAAAAGTATATATTTTTATTTATATATCATTTATAAAATTAAATATTATATTAATTGTTCTATTTTTAATCATATTTATTATAAAAATAGAAGTTGATAGGTTATTGTTAATGAATTGTTATAAAAAATATTAAAAAATCACAAGAATAATATTAAAAATTTAATAAACTTAGTATAAATCTTAAAATATATATTTTCTTAATTGTATAACCAAACTTTAAATAACACATATTAAGAAATAAAAGAAATCATTCGAGATTTTTAACCTAGTAGCTAAAGATTTTCAACTTGAAAAAATAACATTTTTGATATATAAAAGATGGTCAGTTTTATATTTATAGATGATATAAATAAGGTGTATGTATATCAAATGAGAGAGAAAAAAATAAAAAATCGAAAAAGTTGAGAATTGCATTATTTTAGGAATTATATTTTTTATTATTGTGTTATAAATATAAATTTTTTTAGTGATATCCTTAATCGAATTTTTCATTTGATTAATTTTAGACTACAAATTTTTAAATTTGATTATTGTGTAACTAATAGAAATTTTTAACTAATAACCTTAAATAGAATCTTTCAATTAATCATTTTTAATGTACAAAAAAGTTATATTTAAGAGATTTGAAATCTATTTCTTTTATTAGGGTACTTTCATCAATAATAGAAAATAGATATTTAGTGAGAATTAATGTTATACTTTTCTTATGTTGTATTTTTTTTTTCTATTTTACAAAAGAGCATTAAGAGGAAATATAGTTAAAGAATGTTAGAAAGATGATTGAGAATCTCTATTTTTTTTTCAGTTTATGTGGGGTTGACCTGTTATGTTATTATCATTATTATGGAAATGGGTTTCAAATTCAAAGAGTCATACTTAAAGGCTAAGATTAGTATTCCAGAAATAGAGCAAAATAAAAATACCATAAGAAACATTGTGTTTAATTATGTGAAAACAAGAAAGGTCTCAAACAAGAAAGGTACAGTAAAAGTATTTTGCATACAAAATAATCCATTTTCTTATTAATAGTTGATAATCAACTGTTATAAAAAAATCAATATTTAACTTAAAAATTGATTATTTCTTTTTATCAAACACACAATTTTAATACATCCTCAAAGGATGTAAAATCTCATATGGCCAAAGTTCTATTATCAATAGCAAAATGGAATGCAACAGTAATTTTTTTTTTTTTTTGCATGTTAAATAAAATATATTATATGACCTAGTACTAATAGCAGTATTTTACTATTTTATTTTCTCACACACGAAAAAGCATTAACCAGTGAAAGGACAAAGCGGTCACAGTAAACAGAGTGAAAACACCGTCACCGCGTGACACTGCTCAAAAATCAAAACAAAGTCTCAAAGTCAGAAAGTAAGAGAGAGAGAGAGGCTTCGAAGACAAAAAAGAAATGAGAAACTAAAAAGAAAACCAGCTTTGTTGGTGTGTTCCAATTCCAACAACACAGCCCAAAAATGACAACTTCAACTACAACACTATCGTTTGAAGCCAAGTTTTATTTTTCACCCCATTTTCCGCTCCACTCTCAATTCTTTCAAACTCCACTCCAAACACCCGTTTCTCTCTCTATTTCTCTTATATTCTCCCCCAAACAAACACCACAGCACCCTTCTGACCTGTCTCTTTCTCTGCGTTTCCAGTACGCTTAGATCCTGCTCTATTGTTTTCTGAACCCCTCCACCCTGCTTCCGTGGCCAACCCTTGATCATGGGGTCCATCAAGATTTCTTCCAAAATGCACTCAAACTCAGTAACTTCTATTTTATAGTCATAATCAACTCTTTGCAAGCTAGGGATTTTAGATTTTCCATTGCAACCACCTCACTCTCACAGAATGCAATCGGGTGGGCCTGAATCCGCTAGCCCCATGACCCACAGGGTTCAGTCTCTGTCTTCCGCAGATACCAGAGGGAAACATAGGATACATGCTGAAGTCAAGCGCTTGGAGCAGGAAGCAAGATTTTTAGAGGTACGTATTTTTTTTTTCTTCAAAATCATCATAATCTTTTGGGTTTTTTTGGTTGTTGCTGAACGTTGATTTTCTGCTTCTTTGTTTTCTCTGCCTGTCGTTTTTTTTTTCCATTGGCCTTTTGCTTTTTGATGGGTGTACTTTTTGTTCTTCTGTGTGTCTAAGAGATGGTAAAATGAGTTGGGAAAGGTTTAACTTTTTTTTCATTGTTGTGTCGGTATTATCAGAGACAAATGACATCTGTGAGACTGATCAAGTTGCCTACAAATTAACAAATAAAAAATTGTTTGGTTGATTGCTGGGGTATTCTTCTGCCATCTGGATTTATGAGTTGTGCTTATGGAAACACTGTTTGAGAAATTAATGTTCAGATAGGAGCACAGGTACTTGTTATTGTTGTCCGTGAACCTCGGGTATTGGGGTACCTTCCTCCTGATAGTTAAATAGGGTAGTTGTTTTATTAAATGCAATGTTCTCCAAAGATACACTCACATTTACATCAAGTTGGTCCGACAATTTATTTTCATGCAATCAGTCCTCCCAATGTTTAATTGTGTGTTTGGATTGACAGTAGAAATCAACGTTGAATAAAATCACGGTGAAATCAACGCAAAAACAACTTCTTGTTGCTTCAGAAATTACATGGTTCCAAACACACTAAATTGACATCAAACTGGTGCAGTTGATGCCATATATAACTCGATAAAAATGTTATTTTGGTGTAATTGTTAATCTAAGGACTATTTTGACGTTGCAAATATTTGTAGGATGATATTGATGTCAGGTGTATCTTTGGAGGGCCAAACTGGTTGTTTGGTTTATTGTTTCCCTAATGATTATTTTCTGGCAATCGAGAATAATGTTTTGATTCATTAATTGTTTGTATCTTTATAGTTAAATTTGTGTTTTGATTATCAATTATTTCTTAATGAAAAAAAAAAAGTGATTTTAGCTGGCAAAGTTGTCTTTTAAAAGATATGTCAACATTTGGGATGGAGATGAATCAATTGCAGTTCCTGAGTCTTCATTTAGGAAGCTTCATCTGTTGATACTATGTGAATTAATCTGTATTTAAAGCGATAAAAGTTTGATGATTGAACTAGTATAAGTAGACTAATGTTTTATTTTCACTTTATTTGTTGTCTTTTGTTGCTTGTTTATGTCTTGTTTTTATCAATTCATACTTATTATTGTCGAGAGTTGTTGGTGTGGACAGGTTTGCATTTTCTTTATAATCGGAAAGATGTTAGGTTTTGGCTTTGATACCATATTAAGATTCCAACATAAAATCAATTAATACCAAATGACATGAGACAAGTGATGTGGGACTTCCAACACGCCCCCTCCAAGGGAAAGGGTACTTTTGACCCACAATAAATGGACAACTTTATTTTTCCCAAAACAATAACGGAAATAAGTTAGGTTTTAGCTATGATACTGTGTTAAAATTCCAACATAAAATCAATTGGCAATATATGGAGTAGCCTAGCATGTATTTAAATCATACCAAATGACATGAGACAGACGATGTGGGACTTCCAATAATATTGAAATATCAGTTATGAAATATCAGTCTTTATTTAGTTGTTTCTAGCTGTTGGAAGTCCCTTATCGTTTGTCTCATGTCATATGGTATGGTTTAAATATCTGTTAGGTTACTCTTCATATTGTCAATTGGTTTTATGTTGGAATCTTAACATAGTATCAAATGTACCTTTTGCCTGATCCAACAGGCTTCATTAGAGGGAGATTATTCCTCATATTGTCAATTGGTATGTTTTCACTCCTCTTATTTCGTGTCCCTTAGAGAATCACCTCTTAGTTATTGCAGTGGAACTAGATGCTCTAGAAATTCAGCTTTATTTTTCTTTAAGATGACCTTAAATTGACAAACTATTTTATCACTCTTTTTGAAACCATATATAATGGTAATCATGAAAAAAATTAATATGCATCTTGACTTCAGAATTTTATTGGTTGCTGAAACTCAGCAGCTGCACCATGTTATGCATTTTGGAAGTTTTACCTGTAGGAGGGAGAGAGACTGCAATCTAGGTTACCGTGAATGATAAGTAGATAACTGTCTATCTACTAAGACTGTCATTTTAAATAATTTTGAAATTTTAGTTGACTTTTCCAAATGTTCGTTTAGCTCAATTCAACTTTAGTATTTTGTTTTTATGGGACAAAGTTAACATGTGCAGGAAGTGTGCAAGTCATTTTGGCTTTGATTATTTCTGTAGTCAACAAATTTTAAAAAGTCAGAAATTTAGCTAGTCTACCTCTCTGTAGGTATAATGGCAATTAACATGGTTGGCATAATATATGAATTTATCTTCTTTGTTAGTTATTTTCTGATCAGTGTTTACTGGAACTGGCCAGTACTAATTTCATGAAATAGGACCTCCGTCCATTCCAATATAAATCTTGTTGATTTCATTTGCTTCCTTTTTATCAATAATTGAGATTCCATATCTCAACCAGCAATCATTAAACTGTGGACAGGCTATAGATAGAATATGATTTATCACCATAATCCTTCCAAATCTGTGGCACCGCTTTTATGTGAGCTGGGGAAGGTTTTAATTTATATCATGAGTTCTAAGTTCTGTGACAAATTAGAAAACTGAAATATAATAATTTAGATCACTTACAAGAGGTACTGTATATCAAATTGGGGAATGGAGAGAATGCTCTAAGAATCTAATTTAGATATTTGACTAAATCAAATTAAAATTAGGCCCTGCCGCCTGCATTTATCCTTATTCCTTATCCACCTAAAACCTTCAAATTTAGGTGTTAAGGAAATGTAAAAAACATCGGATTGAGGGTTTGTCAAACTTAAATGATTGTTTCCAAAACCATTTTGAGCCCTGTTCTGCTTGGTGAAATATATACAATTAAGAAATTATGATATCATCATTGAATTTTCGTAGAACTAGCAAAATCCCACTGTGTTAACTTCATCAGCATCAATCGATAGTGGGAGTAAAATAGTGTTGTCAACTTGCCAAGATCTTTCACTGCTGCCTTCGTGGGCTAGTTAGGTGATTTTACAACTACCAGTAAAGTTGATAAGGGGGCCACTTCTAACTTTTTACTTGTCATATGTCTCAAAGATTGTTGTCTTGTTAATAACAGTTTCATGTTTTGAAATATGTTACCAAGTCCTGACCTAGTTAAGATTATTTGGTATCCATTGTGAAGCCCACATCATCAATCGAGGATACAAAGAATCAAACACTAATTTGTCAGATATATGGTTTGTTTTCGTTTATTGGTTAAGTGACCAACTGTGGAGATCACTTCCAAATGGATAGCACCTTTGGACCGGAAGGATCAAAACTTTTTCTGGACATGCCTGGGAAACTGTTTCTTGTTCCATTCGTTATATATCCCCTTGTAGTTGGCATAAGCTCATTCATTGTTAGGACTTAGGCTTCTTGCATTATTCATAAGTCTGAACAAATGGTGCTTTCCCTTTGTATCTTAATCTTTAGAGAGATAGGATATGAAATTTCTCTTGATGTGAAATTTCTTTTGGGCATATTGTTTGAAAGGTACAAGTTCCAGAATACCCTGTGGAATATTCTATTCTGTTCGAGATGACTAGATAGGTTCTTAAAGAGAACGGGAAAGGTAATTTTGTAGTACTTGACAAAAGGGTGGTCCAATCCTCTTCCACGTGGTGTTGTTTACATATTGTCCTTTCCTTTTTCTCCTTATGTTGCAAAAGAAACCTATGGCTAGGTGTGATGAGGCCAGGAGGGGGATGGTAGGCAAGGGTGCAGATAAAGCAGTTTGACCAGGATATAGCATTTGCAGTAAGGGATTTTGTGCATTTGATCTGTGGCTCTTTGGCATAAATAATACCTTCCAGTTTCATTCTTATTATGCTCGTATCTAAACTATTTCTGTGGTAATAAATTCCGTAGTCTTAAATGAACCTATCCTGTTTGCTTTGTGGTTCTTAGCCTCTCCTATCAATGAATTGTATTTAATTCCAGTTTTCAAATTTGGTTGCAAGTGCTTCAATAGTCACCATAAAATGAATGCAGGAAGAGCTGGAACAACTTGAAAGGATGGAGAAAGCGTCTACAGCGTGCAAAGGGTAAGCTTGAAAGTAGAATATAATTCGACAATGAATAATCTGACGTTGGTTTAACTTGGATTTTCCATCTGGTGTCTGTTTTTCCAGAATGCTCAGCAACGTGGAAACAAAACCTGATCCATTACTACCATCGTAAGATCTCTTGTGTGAATTTCTATTTATGTTGCAACCACATGTTATCTTTCATGTGTAACTAAAAATCTATATTTTTTGGTTTGACAGAACAATTGGACCAGTAAGTCCTACGTGGGATCGATGGTTTGAAGGCCCCCAAGATTCTAAAGGCTGCTGTAGATGCTGGATTCTCTGATGAATTGTGCTAATTGCCAATCCTCCCTTCTTCCCTTTTTTAATCCAAGATTGGTTTAGAAATTGTGAGTTTTGAAACAATATTGTTATTGGCAATTTTTCATGAATGTTCCCATGTGCGGATGACAATTATAGCAAATACATAGCTTCTACGTTTCAGTTGACAGCTTAATTGCTGAGACGATAACTACCAAGCCATGATGACAGTATATATGTATATATAATTTTATTTTTTTCATTGCAAAGAAAAGAATGTGGTAAACGATACGTTCGATTAGACAAAATAAACTGCAAAAGAATCTACATACATACTAGATTGGCTCATTATAGTATAAATGATACAAGAAAAATGAATATCATTCTAAGTTTTCAGCAAACCAACCCCTTGAGATGGCAGAGCAAGCTTTCATATGCCAATCATGATCCTTGATGCTGTGAAGGGATAGTGCATCAGTGGTCTCAGCAGGAATCGGACCATCCTCGGTATCTTGTTTATTATGTCTTATATTTCTATTTAACTGTTTGAATTTTGAGAGATTTTTGTTCTTATTTAATTGTATTTTTTAAGTTTAAAATAATGTTGATTACTCTTCTTCATTTATATATTTACCTTTTACCTAATATTTAATCAGTTTACATTCTTGATTTTTTGTAAAAGAACCTTAACTACACTTAAGGAGTAGTTTCTGCAAAAAAATTCTTATACAAGAAAAGAAAGATTAAACCGAAAGAGTACTAAAGACAAGAATGTCATATGTTGTAAATCATCATGTATCAATAATCTGAAAAGTTATAATTGTGGTCTATCACAGTGGTTACAGCATGAGTTTCTTGGTAATATATGTTACCGACGATGTCCTCCGTCTCTCTTGTCGACCAAGATTCCAAACCTTAAATTCATGACAGTCAAATGAGTAATATTTTAATCCTGTAGCTTAGAAAAGTTTTCAAATATTCATATAAAGTGATGTTTAACCAGTGAATTACCTAAATAAGGAAACTATTGTTGAACTTAAGTAGGAATCATTAGTTTCAAAGGAGGAAAGGGATGAAATAAGACAAGGAAGTCTCTTGTTTCACTGATCTCACATCTTGCTTATGTCAGCCTTAAGAAGGTGATGGACTTTACAGATTCAAGTTGGTTCGGCTACAGAAACCATTTTTGTTTATTTGTTGCTCGGAAAACGACTTAGATTTGCCAACCTAAGTAAAAAAGTGTCGAGACAGTTTCAATTCTATCCATAAATTCGATTGGATAAGGACAGGATGGAATAAAAATATATTTATATATTAAAATAAAAAAATTGTAATTAAAAATATTATATATTTTTTATTACGTGGTTAAAATATATAAATATATTATAATATTATAATTTAAATTATAAAAATTAATTAATTAGATTTAAATTATTTATTATAATTAATTATTTTGACATATAAATATAATATTTTTTAATATATCTAATAAAAATATTAATTAATAAATAAAAACTTAAAAATTATTTATATAATTAAATATTTGTTTTTAAAAATATATAAAAAAATTATTTTAAAAAATATATATATATAATTTTATTTAAAATATATAATATATATATATATATAATTTTATTTTAAAAAATATTTACAAATTAATTTATCTTTGACGAAACAAATTAAGATTTATAATTTATTTTAATTATGATTAACCCATCTCACCAATTTTAAACCAGTTAAAAACGGGACGTCTATGACGAACGTGGATCTTTTGATTTAGTAGGAAATGAATAAAAGTTGGCGAGAAAGTTTTGGGGGTCTTCAAGGAACAAAGACTAAATGGAAACTGACGTGCATGTATAATTTTGCCTACGCTTCGACGACCCCTTGTTTAAGGGGCATATGGTACATTAATGTGATCGGTCATCAAGTTCACATAAAAATATATATATATAGAATTCAATATCATACATAAATTAGTTATAGGAAATGTCGAAAATAAATTATATACTCAATTTTTTTATTTAGTTTTGTAAGAAGAGCTTCTGAAAAATACAAAATAATATATTTCAAAACAACCATAAAGTATCTTCAAACCACAATTTTCATGAAAATTAAACAAACATTTTGTTTTATAATATTTATTATTTAATTTGTCTCTTAATCATTAATTTACAAGAAAATTATATGACAAAAAATATACTGTCAATCATTTAAGTTCCATTAAATACATTTCGGACCATTTAATTCAACTAACCACCAGAAACTTTACTATATACATCATAAAAAAGAAAATATAGATAAAAAGATTAGAATTAATTATTATTATTATTATAAAATTGAAATTTCAACCCTTCCTTATTATAAATTATTGTTATTATTATTACAAATACACGCGTATTTGTATTTTTAATATCATTAATTAATTTATTTATTTTTTACATATATTTACATTTTTTTTCTATTCATATGTTTGTTTATCTTCCCTTTCTTTTAATTTTTTTTAATATATAAATTATAATAATTATTTTTTATATTATTTATTTTATTTCTATAAATTATAATATTATATATATATATATATATATATATATATATATATATATATATATAAGAGTTATAGATTATACCGTATCAGTGGAAACACAAACTATCCTAATTTACATTTTCGATACAATTAATTTTTTAAAAATATTTTAAAAAAATAAAATTATTTGTCTCTCAAATATTTACTATTTTTTAAATATATAAAATATAATAATGATTTTTTCTTTAAATTATAATATTTTTATTTTTCTCTTTGGGTGACATAAAAAATAGTAACAAAATGAATCGTCCTTATATATAATTATTGGAAATAAAGGTGTTAAAGCCTTTAGGTATTCATATTTTTATTATAATTAATTTTTTGAAATATTATTTTAAATTATATTTTATTTTTCTCTTTCAATTTTTTAAATATATCAACTTTTAAAATATCATATTTTTTCTTTCTTATGTTTTATTAATTTTTAAATATATAAATTATAGTAATTATTTTTTCTTTAAATTATAATTATTTTTTCTAACGACACTAAACTTGTATTTGAATTTAAAGGTGGATTTAAAAAAATTGAAAATGAGTAGATTTGAGATGAAAGTAGGATGATTTAGATTAAAGAAAAATTTATTACAAATAAATAAAATAAAATTTTTATTAATGATATAATTAATTTGACCTATTAAAAAAGATATTTGAATCGATAATATTAAAAGATTATAATTTTATTTTTATTTAAAAATTCATAAAATAAAATATAATTAAGGTAAATAATAGTAAAATTACACGTGAGTTATTATTTAAAATATAAAAATTTAAATATATGAAATTATATCAAAATAAAATATAATTGATAAAAATGAATCTATAATAATTTTTAAATAATTATTTAAAATAAAATAAAATTGTAATTTTAATTGATAGTTTTTTAAAATTAAATATAAATGAATTTTGACATAATCGACTCTCGGCCTGACCAGCTTCCCTCCATAAATTTCACTCCTTTTGTAGGTCGTTCATTCCTTTCGATTCTTCCTTTCTGCCTGTATGCTTTTCCTAGAAAAATAAACTCTGTTCTTCTTGGCATGAACATATAGGTGGCATTTCCATGCCAATAAATAAACTGCAAGAAAATCATCGAAAAATCATCGTATGTTGTTGTTTCTGGTGGAATTTCGATTGATTTCGACCCCAAGATGTTTTGATACTAACCAAAATTCTACCACGTAAGTTCTTTTTCCTTAGACTAGCAAACTAATTTTCAATCGAAATGTGTATAAGGATCGAACCTTACCAAGTATCGAAAATGCTATCTTTTTGGTGTTTCGTATTTAAGATGCAGAAAACAATAAAATGTCGAATCGAAAAACAATACAGGATATTAAATTGCTGAAACTCGTAAAATGCGGAAATCTTAAAAGTACGTTAAATGTAAATGACAAGGAATCGAAAGAACGGAAATGTAAATGGCAAGGAGTCAAGATTGCAGCAAATATACCGGAAATCGAAATTGCATCAATGTTAAAGGACAAGGAAACTTAAACGCGAAAACTTAACTTTCATTGAATTGAAATGACAAGGAATCGAAAGAACAAAAACATAAAATTGCTGAATATAAGGTGCATCAAAATAAATTACCAAGGAAAGTAAAGAAAGCGGTAAAGATACTCGATGAGCATGGAAATCCAGATTGCCAGAAGCTTCATGGTGTTCGTCATTTCCCGGTAGACTTCTCACTACTAATTCTGTTCTCTGCCAATTTTCTGACCCTCATTCCTTCCTCTTTTGCTCTATTTATAGGGCATCATTCAAACCTTCCAGGAGCAGTTAACAAAACTGCTACCACGTTCTACGTGCGTGTTGCAGTTTATCTTCTATGGTTTCAATACTGTACCCACGTTCTCACGATCTTCAACTTCTACCATGGTTTAGAAACTGCTTCCCGTATATGCGCTTGACTGTTCTTCCCTTCACAATTTGGCCAGGGTTTTGATATCCATGTAGGTTAGTCTTCCCCTCGATTTCGAATTTATCGAGAACTTTGAATTATTTTTTATTCCTCTTAACCTTAGCATCATATACTTCTAATTTCTTGGTTTATTCCACAATAAACTTTTAACTATTATTCCTTTGATTCCGACTCTAACTTTCGATTTTGTGTGTCACGTCCTTCTAATTGGACATCGAATGGTTTCTCATCCACTTCGCTTTATCGATCAATTACATGTTTCTCGATTTTTCTTTCTTTCATTTTTCGATCGTTTTTCTCGATTTCCTACTAACAGTTGTGAAGAGATTAATCATGAATTGAACCTTAGCATGATTAGCTGATGGACGATTACTCACTTTATTTTTTATTTGGTGAACAAGAATATCTAAAAATGATTCAATACTATCCACCACTATTTTAGAATGTCATGCATAATTGATTCAGGTGATATATATATATATATATATATATATATATATATATATATATATATATATATATATATATATATATATATATATATAAAGAACATGATAAATAATATATGGGATGATACGAGTTTCTTATCCCTTCTTCTTATTTTAATTTTAATAAGACACTGTTCTTCTCTTCAAATTTTTATGGTAAATCTTTTTATATTATTGAGACTCTCCTATATAGCTAACAACAAACATAATTAATCATCGTTTTTTCATTTAAATAAAAGAAATTAATAACTCAAACACAAACTAAAAAATTATTATAAAAAAATCCTTTTTATATAATATTTTTTAAGTATAATATTTTTATTTTTTTCTTTTCTTATACTATTTTTATTAAATATTATTTTATTTTCTCTTTTCACTCTTTAAATATATACACTTTTTTTCTTCAATTTTTTTTATCTTTCTCATATTTATACTATTTTATAATATATAAATTATAATAACTTTTTTTAACTATAACACTTTATTTCTTTTTCTTTTTTATGAGAAAAAAATTATAAAAGAATTTCTTTTTATATATAATTATAAATTAAAAACTAGAGAAAGAATAGTGTTTATGTTTTCTTATTATTTTAATTTTTTTCTCCATTAATTATGTATATTTTTTTATTTGTATAGTTATAGATATAGATTGTTATAATATTTAAGATTAAAATTAAATGAAATTAAAAATAATATATACCACTTTGATTGTTTCATCTATAATCGATTCTTTTGTTTCCCTAGTCACTTTCAACTATTAACGTAACTAATATACTAAAATCAGACTATTGTGACAAAGATCGAATCATTATACGATTGAAGAAGTTGCATAATCCACATCACAAAAGCTTCTCTCACAATTTTTAATGACGAACTGAACCTCAACATGGATAGATAAGCGACGAATACTCACTTATTTTGTATTTGGTAAACGATCCAACGCTAATCACAACTATTTTACAATGTCATGATTCACGTGAGAAACATGGAAGGATAACGTGATAAATAACTATCCGATCACGTGAGAGATGTAAAAGGGAAACACATGATAAATAAACATCACATATATTACTTTCTTGTTTGTTCTAGACTTTTTAACAAGACACATTGTCTCTTTTCTTTTCTATAAATTTGTCCTCGAAAATCTTCTTCAATTTTTTAGAAAAAAGATAAGTCATTCTCATTTTTTCATTTAAGTAAAAGAAATTAATAACCTAAATTTTCTTATCTTTTCTCCTTTTTTTAATAAGATACTTTATCTTTTTTTTTTTCAAATTTGTCCTCGTAGATCTTCTTATATTTTTTAGAATAAAGATCAGTTATCCTTATTTTTCCATTTAAGTAAAAGAAATTAATAACCCAAATTTTTTTTTGTCTCTTCTCCTTTTTTTAACAGAACACTTCATCTGTTCTTTTCTTCAAATTTTTCCTCGTAAATTTTTTTATATCTTTGAGAACAAAGATAAGTCGTCCTCGTTTTTCCATTTAAGTAAAGAAAATTAATAATCCAAATTTTCTTGTCTCTTCTCCTCTTTTTAACATAATAATTTATCCGTTCTTTTCTACACATTTGTCCTCGTAAATCTTCTTATATCTTTGAGAACAAAGATAACGTCCTTGTTTTTTCATTTAAGTAAAGGAAATTAATAACCAAAATTTTCTTTTTTCTTTTTAACAGGACACTTCATCTATTCTTTTCTACAAATTTATCCTGGTAAATCTTCTTATATCTTTGAAAACAAAGATAAGTCGTCCTCATTTTTCCCTTTAAGTAAAGAAAATTAATAACCCAAATTTTCTTGTCTCTTCTCCTCTTTTTAAGAGGACACTTCATTTGTTATTTTCTATAAATTTATCCTCGTAAATCTTCTTATATATGTGAGAACAAGGATAAGTTATCCTCGTTTTTTCATTTAAGTACATAAAATTAATAACCCAAAATTTATTGTCTCTTCTCCTTTTTTAACAAAACACTTCATCTGTTCTTTTTTACAAATTTGTCATCGTAAATCTTCTTATATATTTGTGAACAAAAATAAGTCATCCTCGTTTTTTCATTTAAGTAAAGAAAATTAATAACCCAAATTTTTTTGTCTCATTTTTTTGTCTCTTCTTCTCTTATTATCACGACACTTCATTTGTTTTTTTCTACAAATTTATCCTTGCAGTGGCGGATCTTGACCATTGATCTTGGAGGGGTCAAATAATATATTATTAATAAATAATAAATAAATATAAAAAGAAGTAAGAAGATGAAAGGGTGGGAGGATAAAATTATAAATATATACTTAAATATATTAAATGATCATTAAGTTTGAAGGGGACAAAATCATAAATTATATGAGAGTTACAAAACAGAGGAGGGGCTGGGAGGATAAAGTTGTAAATATACAAGTAAATATATTAAATGTTCATTAAGTTTTGGGGACCAAAATCATAAATTACATGGGAGTTACAAAACTTTTGGGGGCCACGCCTCTCAACTCCCAAGAAGATCCGTCACTCTTGTAAATCTTCTTATATCTTTGAAAACAAAGATAAGTCGTCCTCATTCAGGAAATTATTAACCAAAATTTTCTTGTCTCTTCTCCTCTTTTTAACAGGACACTTCATCTGCTTTTTTTTTTCTACAAATTTGTCTTTGTAAATCTTCTTATATCTTTGAGAAAAAAGATAAGTCGTAGTTATTTTTCCATTTAAGTAAAGGAAATTAATAACCCAAATACAAACTAAAAAATTATTATACAAAATTCCTTTTTATATAATATTTTTTAAATATAATAATTTTTATTTTTTTCTTTTCTTATACTATTTTTATTAAATATTATTTTATTTTCTCTTTTCACTCTTTAAATATATACACTTTTTTTCTTCAATTTTTTTTATCTTTCTCATATTTATAGTATTTTATAATATATAAATTATAATAATTTGTTTTAACTATAACACTTTTATTTTTTTTTCTTTTTAATGAGAAAAAAATTATAAAATAATTTCTTTTTATATATAATTATAAACCAGAGAAAGAATAGTGTTTATGTTTTCTGTATAATTATTTTTTTAAAATATTATTTTAAGTTTTTTTCTCCACTAATTATGTATATTTTTTTATTTGTATAGTTATAGATATAGATTATTATAATATTTAAGATTAAAATGAAATGAAATTAAAAATAATATATAGTAATATATAATAACAATAACTAATTATTTCATTTCTACCTTTAGTTACTGATTTACGAGAAAATAATATAATAATACTAATATGTATATAAAATTATTTATTATGATTAAATAATTTATTGTATAGTATTTAAGGATTAAATAAAATAAAAATTGAATAATAACCTATACTAATAAATATAATTGTTTTGTATACTTAGTTATTAATTTAAAAGAAAAAAGTATAATAAATAAAATCGTATTATTTAATATTAACATTTTAAAACAACATTTAATTATCAAAATTACATATGAATAACACTAGTATCGATTATTTAATTCACCTATTGTTGTAAAATTGATATTTGAAGCATGTAAAATTTCAAACCTTCATCGTAGGGAGAGAGTAGAGATAGACAAAGAGGGATACTGACATTTACCCTAACAAGAAAACTAATGTATTAGACAGCACAGAAAAGAACAGACCTCACCTCGTAGTCTCCGTCTCCGCAGTTCTGTTTGGAGACAAGTGCACCTCCATTAATATCTAGCGCAACACCAGAAAAAGTACCTCATTTCATACATTCCTCTGTTTCTCCGCCACGCACCACCATGTCGGTATCGCATTCCCTCCACCTCCGCCTCTTCGCCCCTCCTCCCACCGTCATTCCCACCCACGCACCTCTTCCCCCTCCCACGCTGCTCCTCCCCCGCCACCGCCGCCTCCCCTCCCTCCGCTCCTCCTCCTCCCCTGAAATCCTTGTCTCCGACAACAACGGCGTCCCTGCCCCGCCCTCCGATCCAAGCTCCATCGAGGTGGACGCCGTGACGGCGGCGGAGCTGAAGGAGAACGGGTTCCGCAGCACGCGGAGGACGAAGCTGGTGTGCACGGTGGGCCCCTCCACGTGCGGGTTCGAGCAGCTGGAGGCCCTGGCCGTTGGAGGCATGAACGTGGCGCGAATCAACATGTGCCACGGCACGAGGGAGTGGCACAAGGAGGTTATCGACCGCGTCCGGCGGCTCAACCACGAGAAAGGCTTCGCTGTCGCCATCATGATGGACACCGAAGGCAGCGAGATTCACATGGGTGATCTCGGTGGCGCCTCCTCTGCCAAAGCCGATGTATTTATTTACTGTCACTCCCTTCCTTTCTTTGCTTCTTCTTCAATACTCCCTCATTCTATTATATGACTCTCTTAATTTCAGGACGGTGAGATCTGGACCTTCAGTGTTAGAGCCTTCGATTCAACTCGCCCCCAACACACCATCAATGTCAATTATGAAGGCTTTGCCGAAGGTTAACCAACTTCTTAAAACATTGTTATTTCTTGTTTGTTGCGAGGCCTTAACTGTTGTGAGTTTGTTGATGGAATGTATGTGATGTGATGTGATGTGGCAGATGTGAAAGTAGGGGATGAACTTTTGGTGGATGGAGGAATGGTTAGGTTTGAAGTGATTCAAAAAATAGGTCCAGATGTTAAATGCCGTTGCACTGATCCTGGCTTGTTGCTGCCGAGGGCCAATCTCACATTCTGGAGGAATGGCAGTTTAGTGCGAGAGAGGAATGCCATGCTCCCTACTATTTCTTCCAAGGTTGCCAATTCCTCCTTTGCCTTTTGCTTACTTGCATCCCTATATTGCTAATTTTGCTTACTTGCATATCTTTATGTTCTATATTTGTCATCTACTTTACCTTAAGCAAACAAACACAGCTTGCCATTGCTGTAGTATTACTATGATAGTGTATCCAATCCAAAAGATCACAGTTGGGAGCAATTGGTGCCTATGGCCCAGAACTCTGGCAACCATGAGTTTATCGAGTTACTACACAAAGGTTTATAGTTGTTGAACTCTGACATTCCCCTCACTTTGTTTGTCGGATCCAAGATACATTAAGCATGCAACTTACAGAGCTATATGCTTCCTGATTTTCACTTCAATTGTTAATTCGCATCTTGTATTCCATGTTATTCCTATTAATGGGCAACTCTCCTCAAAAGACATGCATTGACAGTTGGACCCTTAGATATGCCCACTGCCTGATTAGTATGCTTAATGCCTAGGTAAAAATGAGTCGACCCAGATTGACTATTTCTGCTTACCTTGCACTGATTGTGTTGTTATTAGAAAATGTTTTGTTACATCTCCATGAGTTCCCAAACTGGTTATCGTCAAATGTACATCTTCTATGGCAATAAAGACATGCGATACAAATTGCTAGATTCTAAGAGTGAAGGTACGAAAAATGGGTCTAATTAAGTAGTGCGACACTATAAGAGACAGAGAGAAACGGGAAATTGAGTGGTTTGAAACTCCATACACAGGTCATATTTGAACTCCACAACTCCGACAAATTATATTTTTGATTTATGTAAATAAAAGTATAACTTTGACTCTTAGTTTTGAACTCCAAAATTATTGTTCATGCTGTTAATTAAGTAGCTTTTAGCAATAGCAAGTTTGTGCATATTGCCTTTTCTCCTATTATATACTTAAAGATAACATTTCCCCTGAAAAGATTTAGGTTTCACCTGGATAAATTCTTTCTTAGTATCTTGGCTACTTCATACTTTCCAATTTTCACTTACAACACTTGCATGAGTAATGCTTTAAAAACACTCTGCTTTAATTTTAACTTTCTGATTTTTTATTTATTTTTGTCAAATAATATGTAAGTAGGACTTCTCTTGATTAAGGTCATCTTTGGGAGAGTTTATCCATAGTTTATTTGGACTTATTTTCTGACCTAAACACTTATATAAGAGTTTGAGCATACTTTAACGGCACATGTCTATAGCCAGTATTCAGAATCATTTCCTATCTACAATAGCTTATGAAAGAACAGTTTAACCCTATTTCTTCTTTGACTATCAAACAACTTATATACAAGTTCTTACATGATAAATAAACAAAGCGTTTAATTAAGCTGTTCACCCAAATGCACCCTAAGTATTCAGAATTTGAGATCTTTGTCTTGAACCGATGCATGAAGTTTAAGATCAGTACAGTTAGATTTTATGCCTGACGAATTTTATTATAGAAATGACATCCTAAGGACACTCGTCTGGACTGCTTTTTATTGCTAATATTAGTAAAAAAAATTAGAATAGGAATTGATATTATCGGGCAGAGCCAATGGTCTAACAATGAAGTTGCATGTGTAATTGTAACTTGTGATGATTCTATACTGTATGTGTTAGGCTATAACAAGTATACGTGGCAACAAGTGGAGGAAGCATTGTGGTAAAGTTAGGTTCTGCCAAATATAAGGGAAGGAAGGGGGGAATGAGAGAGGTTGGAATCTGTCGCAGGGCAGAGACGTTTTCCTACTCTGATAGGTTTTATTTCATTTAGTTTCTACACCTGCATATTCCATTACTATCAGAGCCTTATTCTCTGAGTATTTTTCTCTTACATAGTGATAAATACCCAAGCACTTGAGAAACTCAATCTTAAGAGCTAGCTGTTAAGGGGGGAGAATCAAGTATTTAAATGCTCCACTAGACATCTCATACTACTCGTTTTGGAACTTAGACATTCCATAATAACCAATTTCCTCTCGTAACACCACTTCCAAGAGCCGACATCTTGGTAGCTCATACTGTCTGATGACATCTCACTTAGTTACACTTCACTCAACTTCTTCCTTGGTCCCTCCACCAGTCAGAACTCTCTTTTTAGGTAGCGTTTTCTGAGACATTGACAAGACAACCAACTCTAATATCATTTGATAAGCACCCAAACACTTGAACGCTAGTGTGTATGGGGGGAGAATCAAGTACTTAAATATTCTACCAAACATCTCATGCTACGTGTGTGAAACTTAGTCCCTATCACATAGGCAGCTCAATTTTCTACCAACTGGTTTTAGAGCTCAGGTCCAGGAGCCATGGTACTGGATGGTGGATTCCACAATGAAAAAAGTGGAAAAGCATTGAGAGGTTGAATTTCTTGAAAATTATTGGAAGATGTTTGGGTATTGTAGGAAGGAAGAACAGGAGGATCCAAGGACATTAGAGAAGATTGAAAAATCCATAATTTTAAGAAAATATGGCATATTGGTGTTTAATCCAGGTGGATTAAGTTGCTGCAATCGGAAATTGTGCTGTAAAGGCTCTCAGAGGTTGTGCTGATGGCTTTGTTGTTGTTCAAACCTCAACCAACTTGTTTAAGTTTGTGAAGGTGGCGCTGGAGCAGTTTCTGCTTGAATATGACCCCGTGATACCTGTCTATGTACTGAATGAAGAGCCAAAATTGGAATGATACGATGATTCTGGGAAAGGCCATGAATCCATGATAACAGAGTCTTGCCTGATTAGTTGAGAGATTAATTAGTTTATAGTCCTCCAATTTACCTAACTGGTGGCCTAACTATTCTAACTGTTTTGCACTGTCTATCCTTCACCACTTTTTTTTTCCTTCTATCCTAACAGTATCACCAAGGGCAAATTAACAACTTAATTTATGCATTATTAACCTCCCTTTGTAGGCTTTGGTGAAACATTTGGACTGTGATTACATTGATCTTGGTTCAAGTTGATGACAAAACCATATCCATGACCTTAGAAATTTTGTACCAGGCAATGCATATGGTGTTGCAAGTGATGTACCATGGTGCATTTTGAATCTTTGGAGATATCTAAAGTGTAATAGCTATTGATGCAAATTTTGGCAGCCTTATGCTTTTAACCATTCATGTTGATTTCCTGTGATTCATGTATCGAGGCTAAATTTCCTTTAAACAGAAGACTATCTGTCTCAAATAATGTAATTCATTTATCTGGTTTTTCTATATGCAGGATTGGTTAGACATTGATTTTGGTATTGCCGAGGGTGTTGATTTTATTGCTATTTCATTTGTCAAGTCTGCTGAAGTTATTACTCATCTTAAAAGCTATATTGCCGCACGGTCTCGTGATAGGTATGTACTGAACCTTTTTTTAATTATTTCTATTTGAAATTATTATCAACATATTTCTATTTTAACATGGACCACAGTACATTTATTATTACCCCTTTTGTTTTGTTAAGAAATCATAATTGACTAGCAGCACGATTGATACAGTTCTATGAATTATGAATTACATCAGATTCATTGTCATCATCTCCTTTGTATGTGTTAGATTTATATCCATGTTTCATCACCTCCAAATCTGTCTATCTCTCAATATTTGGACTTGCCTTGATCCTTTTCTGTGGACCTATATACCCGCGTTAGTGCCTTTTTGGAGCAATGTTGACTTCGTGCATTGGGAAACTTATCACCTCAAAATGCACTAAGGGGAGGATGGATGCGAAACCAAACACAGAGAGTGACTTACCTGAACCAATAAAAAACCAAAGGCCTATGGATGGGTTCCTGACTAAAGGGCCTCACCTCTAACACCAAAGGCTTTAACACTTCTGGTGCTTTTGGCTTGCCTTTTAAAAAAAATGAGACTAATGAAAAAAATTGAAAATACAAATATTATACTTTTTTTGGTTCAAGAGGGGTCTTCCCTTTAAACTCCAAGAAGCTCTGACCCTCTTTCGGGTTCGTTATCTTAATTCTTTTGGCACCTTAAACTACGTCAGTATCAAGTATCAGTGGCTAAACCCATCAACACTTATTATTTTGTCTTTTCTTTTTCTTTTGTTCGTGTTTATTTCATTTGCCTTTTTGGGTGGAATAAAAAATTAATGAAGAGGAGAAAGTGCGAAGAAAGAGGACAAGACATACTATCAAGAAAACAGCAAAACTAGAACCTAGGACTAGGAGATTGGACTATGGAGCATGTAAGAAAGAATACCAATCTCTCTGCATATCTGAAAAAGAAACTCTATGACCAGGACACCTTATAATGGCTAAGAGAACTACCCTATTCCAAACATATTTATCAATCTCAAACAGTGACACAATAGTGCATAGTGGGACATCCACTATTCCGAGAATTTATATGCAAATTACATAATTTATACTGCATAAAATTAAAGGCTTAATTATAAAAAAAATGATGACATTCATAACTAATAGGTCTTAAGCAAAGCATACAAGTAAAATACCAACAACAGAACTGAGAAAAAAGTAATGAGTTTGGGTCTTTGGTAGACAGCTGATGCAAAAAACTCAGACTAGGCTCAGACATAATAAAAGATTAGAATAAAAAGGCAGAAACCAGCAAAACACAAAAAGAAGAAGAAAAAAAAGAAAGACAAGGTGAGAAAATTAGCTACCTGCAGGAAAGTGAAAGCAAAAAGGGAAACAGAGCTCTTATCCAAGAAATGCAGAGTCAGGGAACAGAGAGAAGGAGTTCACTGGAAAACACCAGATTGTGACCAGGAAGTTACCAGAAAGTAATGGTTAAAGATGAGATGCATGGTTACATAAGGTCATAGAGAAGAGGGTATGCAAAAATGAGAAGCACAAAGGGTTTTTTGACCTTTCTCCCAAACTTGCCTCAGTAACGTTAAAAATTTAGGGCATATTCGGGTTTAGTGATCACAACCCTAAAACCCAATGTGACCCTACTATATTGTCACCTGCAATTGACAACCTAGATCCCAAATGAAGTCTAGAGCCAAATAACTGAATAAATGTCCTTAAAATAATATCATTCCATAAACACCTTAGAACTGCTAGGACAATACAATGCCATATAATTTTAGCCCCTCTCCACAAGCCAAAACCTCTGAAATGAATGAAGAGCAACTAAAGAAAACCCTCAGCACAGATCCATTATTCTCCAAAAATCCCAAGCAGCTTATTCCAAAGGAAAATAACTTCAGGATAGAGCAAAAAAATATGGTGTCTGGTTTCTGAACAAATACTGCACATTACACAAATGTTGGGGGAAAAAGCGGTGAGAGAGTTGTACATCTGTGATATTGTCTTAATCTTGCGAAGACCAGCACTCCAAACTATTATATACACTGTTTTCATTGTAATATATATATGCATGCTAATATCGAGAGTTCTGGTTGACAAACTGTAATGTGATGAATCTGGTGATGCAGTGATATTTCTGTTATTGCAAAGATAGAAAGTATTGACTCATTGAAGAACTTAGAAGAGATTATTCAAGCGGCAGACGGAGCTATGGTGGCACGAGGAGACTTGGGAGCTCAAATACCTTTAGAACAGGTTCCATCTGCCCAACAAAGGATTGTTCAACTGTGTAGGCAATTGAATAGGCCTGTTATTGTTGCCTCTCAATTACTTGAATCCATGATTGAGTATCCTACACCTACAAGAGCTGAAGTTGCAGATGTTTCTGAAGCTGTTAGGCAACAAGCTGATGCTTTGATGCTTTCTGGTGAATCCGCCATGGGCCAGTACCCTGAGAAGGCCTTAACTGTTTTAAGGAACGTCAGTTTGAGAATTGAGAGGTGGTGGAGGGAAGAGAAACGGTATGAAGCCATGTTGCTCCCATCTGTTGGGTCTTATTTTTCAGAAAAAATATCAGAAGAAATCTGCAATTCGGCTGCTAAGATGGGTAAGCCATCTTTAAGCCTTAACCTTGATTTCTTTTCGTTATTTTTATCTTGCCATTTACACTTTATGACTTCAAGTGTTGCATATTTTTTATTTATTTGTTGCAGCAGTGTATATACTGTTCAAAAGTTCAAATTTATATTACTTTTTATAGGTTACTATACTACCTTGCACTAGTTAAGTTTTGTAATCAAAGTGATGACCCTAAAACCATAATATAAGAGGCTTATTTGAGTAAGACACCGATTTCTTACTAGAAGATAAACTTGATTACAAGATGAACTCCTCAGAAAAAAAAACATTGGCGCTCGTGTAAACGAGGTGCTCTACCTAACTGAGCTATAGCCCTTGTGCTTTTGATACATATTTTATCATAGTACCTTTTATTTGCGGAACCTGAGGGTTATTGCATTCTTGACCATTAGCATTCTCTGGCGAGGAATTCACGATTTTTAGGAATCTGTAACACTATATAATGATTATTGACTTCTTAGTAAAATACTTGTTTCACTCGTAATTTTCAGTCATTCTAATCCAAAAACTCATTTCCATATTCGGTATGTTTGTTTTTTGTTTGATGATGCATGCTAACTTGATTTTAAACTCTGGCAGCTAATAATTTAGAGGTGGATGCACTTTTTGTGTACACGAAGACAGGGTACATGGCATCGCTATTGTCACGATGCCGGCCTGACTGCCCAATCTTTGCTTTTACTACCACGTCATCAGTGCGGAGGCGTCTGAATCTCCAGTGGGGCTTGATACCTTTCCGTCTGAGCTTCTCAGATGATATGGAAAGTAATCTCAATAGAACCTTTGCATTACTCAAGGCCAGAAATCTCATCAAAACAGGGGACCTTGTCATTGCAGTCTCTGATATGTTGCAGTCAATACAAGTGATGAATGTTCCTTGAGAACATGTTTCATTCCTTCTGAAAGCCAGCACAGCCCACCTCGGATGCTGCTATAGCTAGAGTGCTAAAAATGGGACTGAGACTTCATGAATGAATTTTGTCATTCTGTCTTTTCAATTATTAGGACGCAACTTAAAGTTTGGGAGAGTTTATGTTATGGCAATGAAGTTCTTCATTTTAATGCCTTGAAGCTTTAGATATCTTTTAGGCGAGTGAGGCAATGTAGTGGATAGTTATTTCTTGAGTTGTGTGGCATATCTGCTTTTTCTATGTTTTATTTACTTGTAATTTGTATGAGCGTTTCACTTCAATGTTGGCTAAAATCTGAAGTTCTCAATAAAGATTCCAAAGTAGTCGCACATCATTATGCACTATGTATTTGTTCTGTACAAACTCAATGCTAGTAGAGTAAGGAAATCGGCTTGTGGCATCCAAGTATATTTTAGAAGAGATTGTACTTGGAAGGGTAGAAGTTGTTTAGCATGTAAAGGGCTAGGTGTAATTACTATATGTAATTCATACTTTGTGAAATTGGGTATTTTATTTTTTCCTTCACTAGATAAAAATCTTGGTAAATCCATTTGTAGAATAAAAGGAGATACGCCTAGATTTTTAAGCAGGACACAGAAAATTGGGACCTATTACAGTTGGGCTTCATTGGGCTAGCTAATTTGAGGATTGTGTTGGGCTGAGGTTAGGCCCAGATTCAGTTCAGAAAGGTATTCATGCTACAAATTTTCTATATGGACAATATCTTGAGTTGCTTCACTTAACAATATCAGATTGATACTTTTGGGATACTCCAAGTGTGATTGACGAATAATGTTAGTCCTTTACAGTAGATTGAGGAAAGGAAATAGTGAGTTTCCCAAAGCAACGTTTTCTTCATTTTTGATATTGTCCAAGATTGGCTTTGAGTAGCACCTCATTTACTTCACTGTTTCTTTCGTCTTTTTCTTTTTAGTTGGTTCCTTGCGGGCAAAAGCATGTAGAATGCACGCTACCAAGCCACTCAACGATTAAATCATAAACGGATAAGAGTTAGCTCATTCACAAAGGAACTGTTAAAGGTCTGAGTTTGACAAATTTATTCTTCCAAGAAACAAACTGCTAACACACTGCCATGCTTTTACACAATGTAATGCTTGCTTTAGAACATTCTTTACTCGTCAAATTTAAGTATAGCTTCCGTACAATCATGCTTAATACCCTACCACAATACATACGGCAAAGTAAAAATCAACTGCATAGTTTATGCCATAAGTCAGAACATAGAAAATGGATGAGCACATAATGTCATTACTACCAAGTCTTGTCCTCTAATTATTATTATTATTATTATTATTATTATTGTTATTGTTATTAAGATTCATTAGTTGGAATCTGAAATCTGAAGCAAGGTGTTGCTAAGCCTTCTTCACATTTAATTTTTAAAAGCGACAAAGTATCTACTCGACCAAAATAATCTAAATCCCTGATCAAATTTGTTAGGAAATTACATGTTTCTACTTATGAAGATTTCATTAAGGTGCATCAGTTTGTAATACAATATTGAAAAAGAAAATGACATATCAGCTATGGAACTTAACTTCTTAAAATATTTTGATAAATTAAAATGAGTTTAATAACTATACATACAATGTCAATAAATCAGAAATTATCGTTAACATAATAATTATCATGAAAGTCAATAGATTATTGGATTATATGACAGAATAAAATTTCTCACATGGTCAATGCACATCCTATTTTATCAATTTAATTTGATTATTTTTATCTGTGAGTAAAACTTGTTAACTTTTTTATAGGAAAACAAGAATACATTTAAAAAATGACATTAAATGTAATGTACCAGTACTGAGTCCTATAGTATAAATGACGTTATTGAATGTCATCTGCCTCGTAAATGAAGTTAATTGCAGCGAGTGATTAAAACTTTGGACTGAGTGATGGTATTTACAATTGTTACATGGTCCCTTGAACAGGTACCTTCCTTGGCTTGTTTGTCCTCCATTTCAGGCCAACCCCACCCAGAAAGGGGAAAGGGCCAAAAAGGAAGAGTGAGAAAAAGACGTGGGATGTGTAAGTGACCTTAACTGCATTGATAAAAGTCATGTATATGTGCAGTGTTACAAGTCTTTTTAAGCTGCTTCCAAGCAATGTAAAAACTCCAGATCTGGCTCTTTAACTTTTTACAATTAAAATTTGAATAGTGCTACAACTGCTCTTTTTGTTCCTTCTTTATTGTTCTTTTCTCTTTAACTTGAACCCAAGAACCTAAAGATACACATAGAACAAACAAAAGAAGAAATTAAATACATAAAAAGAGAGCCCCACCGTCTAAAACACCAAAAATAAAACGAGAGAAGATGCTCTCATCTGCATACAAGTTGAACACGCAGACAACCAACCTATAAGCTGCCTTGTTCTCATCATTTCACCCACATTGCTTACAATTACAAGCATGTTTTTTAGAATAAAATTCCTTTAAGAAGATGTAGAAAAAAGTAACTATTTCTGAAAAGAGATCAGTGCAAAAACTTTCAATGCAGTACATTTATAACACCTTGAATTTGTTTAACCAAGAGTATACTGAATATTTATGTGTGATATGCATTAAGTAGTGAAAAAATTATTCCCTTTTTCTGATAGCAGAGTAACCAGAATGGTGTGTTAGGAGTCAGAAGTATCGTAGTGCAATCAACTGAAACCACATAGTAAAGTGGCCTTCAACTTACCACCCAAGGCCAACAGATTCGGCTCAAACTATCAAACTCCAACTCCATAATTCAGTGGACCCGCATTTGCAATTTCAAGTTGGGGAAAAAGATGTGAAGGTGACTTGAAACTTGAAAGCACCATATAACACCTGCTACACTACCCATTATTATCGTCACTGACAAATGACATAAGGTCCTCATAGTCTTCAAGTTAATCCCTAGATGGGTTTGGTTAGTAAATATCTACACACACACACAAAGATCATCCAAACTGAACATTTGATCATCACACGTGAGAGAAGATATGCTTTGCTGAGGTTAAAACCACTTGATTCAAACGGGTGGTTTAATCATCCAAGAAAAAAAAAATCGTAACTTTGTGATGGTTTTGTAATTTTGTGAAATTCTTAGCATCATCAGCGTGGGCCCCACCTGGAAAACCATTAAGTGGCTCACAGATTCATCATCAGCCATGACTCTTTCAGCCCCATGATGTGTATAACATCATCATAGAACAGTTAAAATGTGCCATTATTTGAGCCCACCTAGAGCTCAAATCATCACAATGCTACAAACTTAGTATCAGACAATGTGTTGGCTTTTGACATGGGAAAACTCAACAACAAGAGTAAAATATTCTTGCCGTTCAAAATATGATCTCAGTTTACAGTAAATTTATTAATTTTTCTAAGAATTATTTTAAAAACCATACCAATTTTAATTAAACTCAAAGCAAACAAAAATCCTACCACAAGAATCCCAAAGATGGTTTTGGTGGGGAGGAACATGGTCTGGGGTCGGGGGCATCATGCTCTGTTTGGCCTTGCTTATCAAACACTTTGTGTCCTTATCAGTCATAATCTGCAGTTTATTTTATTTATCTGCCTAGAAAAATTAATGTGGTTGAGACAACAACTTTTGTTGCAATTGATACAAACAAACACATACTTATTTATGGTTAGAATAACCCACGATGAAGCGGCCATTTATCATGATGATAAGCCACACATTTGAATGTGGTGTGTTTATCATATTCACAAGAAGGAAAATGAAGCCGTGAGACGAGTTCAAACTTCCCGTAAGCAAGAAGATTGAACAAGTACACTCATAATTATTGCCTCAGAGTGATTATATAATTCACAAATTTATATCAGCAAGGCACCGCAATAACATGATGGTTAGATAGATGGATAGATATAGACCGATAAGAAAGAGGGTTTGAATTAATAAATGCTGCCTTTGGACAATAGCTGCTATATCCATATCAATTAGTGGTACTAACAAGGTCAAACAAAGCATTCTTTTTTATTGTATACCATACTATAACTCTTAGGAAAATCAAATATTACATGCAATCAACACAAGTGGGTCCAATCTCATGTGCTGCATTGCTTCAAATTATACAAACATGAGATTGCAAAGGGTGTCTTAGGTGAGGAAGATATAACAGTTGACTAGGTATACGGTTGAATACTAAATGATGGCATGGTAGGCCAACGATTGAGGTACTTTTGGGGAGTGTGGACAGTGACCACCATGTCTCACTCTCCATCTCTCTAAGTTGTTAAATGGTGGATACCTATTCTCTCTAGTTTTCGGTTTCTTCTGTTCAGTGGTCATCACCCACATTTGACTCTCTGCATCCTCTTGCTTTATTATCACCAATTATTTGTCATGTATTTTGATCATGATCATCATTTTTTTGCTCTATCAAAGAAGATAAGCCACATGCATGTTTTTCTGGTTTACTCTGCACACTACATTCACAATCCATCTGAATCAGGCTAGCCAGTTTACATTGATTGATCAGGACATTCCATGGAAGATTTGACGTCAAATCTTCCTACACCAAAAGTTTAGAGTGTGTCTATAAAGTGAAAAATTAAAATAATTTTCTGTGAAATTATTGTAAATTAGTTTTTTTTTTCCTTTATTCATCATGCAAGGTATATAAGGAAATTCATTTCATTAATTACCAATCTCTTGTGTAGACTTTGAATTAGTAAACCCATGTCCTCTTAGAATGGTCAAGTTCCAAGATTCTTTCATTAATAAATGATCAATAATGACTGGGGTTACTAATATTATAACATTTTCACCTCTCTGTTGTAGTAGTGTACACTCCAAATACACACACAATTCATTCCTCAATCCAGAATTAAAATATTAGTAAAATAAATAGTCCGTAAATCTATAATTTTGTCCACATTGTTCATTTTTATTGTCTAAGTGTTTTTCATTAACTAAAGGCATGATAATAACATGAGTAACTACATAGATTACTGGTTTAACACCAAAGTTGCATAATAAAACGTGTTTTTATTATATTAAAAATACAAACTTGTATGATTTAGTTTCTTTTAAAAATAATAAATAATTTTAAAAAAATATAACACAAAGAAGATGGTATCTAATGAAAAGTAAAAAAAATATTTTTTTTAATAATTTCACCATCATATTATGACTAAAGTATAAATATCATTCATAAAAATAAAAAACATATTTTATTAATTTTAATTTTTTAGTTTTTAAAGACTAAAATACAAAAATTGTTTTCCCAAATAGTTATCAAATTCTTTAGTTCTTTAAAATTGAAAAATTAAAAACTATTTTTAAAAAGGGAAAATAAAAGAACTTTTATAATCTTTAGAAAAATCTCAAATTTCAATTTTAGTTTTCATAAAATTTCAATTACAATATTTTTGTCCTTCAAAATTTCGTTCGGTTGTAATTTTTCTTATCTTTGATATATTTTCATTTACTTTCAAAAATTTTGTATCAATTTAATAGTTAAGTAGGTGTCATTGAGCATAAATTAGATTCTAGAAACTCTCTTCAACATCTTTGAGAAGGGTCTAATTTCATAACATTTCCAAAGTCTTATAATATTGAGAACAAGGTTTTCAAAATTATTGAATTTGGACAAACATAAGGGTAGTAATTGAAGTAAAATTTGAAGTTTTTCACTTCTACAATATCAAACACAGTCAGAGAAACAAGTTGAGGGATATTACACTTTCAATCCTTTTAGAAGACATCATCCAACAAACTTAATATGTATATTTAAATAATAATAAAAAATTAAAATTTTAAAAAAATAATTATAAAAATATGAACATATAAATGTTTGTTGTGTTTTCAACAATAATAATATAATTATTATTAGTAACATCTTAGTGACATGTAAAAACAGTTAAAATAATTATAATATGCAACCAATTACAATGGTGTTAATATAATGTTACATTATTTTATTAAATTTTTAAAATAATATTCATAAAAGGAATAAGGTTGACTTTTTATAAAAAATAAAAATAAAAAATATTTTAAATTTTAAAATTGTGCAACACTATTGTAACGGAAGAGTTATAAATAAATAAAGATATTAAATATTAAAAAGTTAAATAAAAATATCTAAAATAAAATTGAAAATCTAAAATTTTTAAAGAATGGAACTTAAATTAAAAATGATAAGAAATATTATTTTGGACAAACAAACAGTCTATGTGATATAATGAAACAAAAATAGTCCAAGTAATAAACCACATAAGTATCATATTATTGTTCAATAGAGTCCACTATTGACTACTGAAACAAACAAAATGATGGATGAAAAATTAAACAATAAAACAGTCAACAAATGTTCGAAGAATAAAACACTGATAAAATAACGGGAAATGTAATATTCAAACTATATAAAACCCCAAATAGGTTGAATGAGTCAATATTTAATACCACATATTGCTTGCACCAAATGGAATCTTAAATAAAAGCCAACTTAATATAAAGGTGAAATTTATTCTTCAGAGTCAAATGTGCTTTATGGTGTTTGGTGTCATAGAAGTAAAAGAAGAACAGAAGAGTAGACTAAAAAAAATCAAATATAAGAAAAAAAAATGAGATTTTTTGGTTGTTGTTTTTTTTTTTTTTTTTTAAAGAAAAAATTGTTCTTCTCTTGATATTAGAAAGATTTGTACAGAAAAGTGGTTTAAATATTTTTATAATACGAACTAAATTGTCAAAAAATACATTTTACCTCACCTATCCACCATTTCTATTTATAGAAATATAACAGTTTATTATTTATATTTTCTTTTCTTTTCCTTTCAAATTAAAATATCATTTTTTTTTCATTTTAACAAGTGGAAATGAAAAATAAAAGAAAATCTCTCATTTTCTTTGTTATGATACGTGTATATCTAATAAATATAAGTAGGGAAAATAATTCTACAAATTACTAAATTTGAGCTATGTATAAATATACATAAGATTAAAATACTTTAAAATAGTTATTAAATATTTTTTAATACAAATTACTATTAAATATAATTTTATTTGTTTATTTATATTATACATATCATGATATATATATAAAGATTAAAAATTAATAAATTATTATTTTAGCCAATCAAATTAAAAGATATGATAAAAAATAGTAATTTTATTACTTATATATATATATATATATATATATATATATATATAACAATTAACTTTTTTTTGAAGTAATATATGATAGATTAAATTAAATTTTTTCTATTCACCAAGAATTATATAAAAAGTTTAAATAAATTAAACATTTACAATTAAGTAATCTTATAAATGTCATTTTTTTTAATACTTTGGAATTGTAGATTGTACATTAAATTAATTACATTTGATGAAGCATTAAATAGTTTTAAAATTTTATGAAAAAAAAAATACAAGTTTAGTTTTTATTCAATAAAACTTGTAAACTGTATTTTTTTAATATTTTAAAACATGTGATTAGTGTATATTATTAAAGTTATGTATGACAATATTATTCCAAAATATAATTGAAAGTTAGGAAAATAGTTTGGTAGTTAAATGTGATCAATTAAAAAACATAATTATATCATATTTTTATATAAAACTCAATTTAATATATATATATATATATATATATATATATATAGATAGATAGATGCATATAAATATTAGATAATAATAATTTAAATTTTTTTATTTGAACTCAGTTTTTTATAATTTTTAGAATATATTACATCAATATTATTTAAGATTTTTCTTAAAGGAGTAAAAGTATGATTTTAAGAAATTTTAAGAGTGTCAATATAATTTACTCTAATTTTTTATAAAATTATTATAATTTCACATACTTTTTTATATTTTGTATTGTACTATAACCTTATATTATATATTAAAATATTTTTAAACAATTTTAAAGTAAAATAAAAAATAATATATATATATATATATATATATATATATATATAAATATGTCTTACTTTCATTAATCTTTTTTTTATGGTGATAAAAATCTTACCTAAAAAAAGTAAATTTTATAATAATTTAAAAGTAAAAGGATATATATATATATATATATATATATATATATATATATATATATATATATATATATATATATATATATATATATAGAAGTTAAATAAAGCTTAACTTCTAATTGAAATAAAATCTCGAACTATATTTTATATATATATATATATATATATATATATATATATATATCAAATATTATCAATAAAGTTATTTTTATCTAATTAAAAATTAAATTACCTAACAAAAAGCGTCAAATATAATCTAAAAAATAAAGAATAACAGTATAAAAAGACTTTACATTACTGCTCAATCAAAATAATCAATTATTAACTTTTATAGTATTAAACTTTAAAACAGTGTTTAACTAAATTATTAGTTTCTGAAAAACACAATTTTCTAATAAATAACATAATACATACAAATTTTGAAAAAAAAATATTTTTCATACAAATAAATATGTATATATATTTAATATAATAAAAATGTTTTATTTAAATGTATTATATATATATATTTATTATATTCAAATATTTAAGATTTAGATTAAAAAAATTGTAAAATATGACTTCTCTCAAAATACACTTTTACAGTTAATTAATGTTACATGAAATCAATTTTAAAATTTTATATTATTAAAATTATATACATCAATCCATCAATAATATATATATATATATATATATATATATATATATAGATTACCTAATAATTAATAAAATATAAAATTAATTATTTAATAATAATTATGAAAATTTTAATAAAATATAAAATTCAGATAAATTATTTTAATTATAATAAATATAAGTATTTAATATAAATATTATACAACAAATATATTTTATCTACCAATATTAAAAAAAAAAAACTCAAGGTAAGCTGTAGCGGTGCAGCACTAAAAGGCTAAGAATAAAAAGTTTGAACAATATAGATATCTACAAGAAAAATTCACAAACCTTTTAATTTTGGGAGTAGCATAAATTTGGGGATTTGTAGAAGGATTTGACCCCCTCAAATGAAAAAAAGAAAATATAGAGATCGAAGGCCCCACTGTATGAAGCATTAATTTATAGGCCTGCTTCGATTGCAATGTCTACATGGATAATGACACTTAGCTTCAACAGTTTGTTTCCACTCCACTTACCTTTTTCCTTTACCTAGTCTTTTCCCACCACCAGTCTCATGCATCATGATAAGCAATGCCATTGTGCCACTAAGATCTGCTCCATATAATGTGTTTTAGGATAGAAGTATGTAAAATAACAAAAAATCTGTGTTTTAAAAATTGAAAGCCCAAAAAATAATGCAAAATTGTGAAGCACTTCGAATCCATTTTTTAATAATATTTAGTGTTATCAAAACATTTTTGTCTGGTTGAACAAGGACAATTGTTTATGCTGTATCCCCGTGAAAATTTGGTACCTCCTTGCTTCTCTTTAAGCCATAGATTGATGGAATTGTTAATTTTGGCAAGGTTAATGAAAAGTAAGTTGTATATGATGCTTAAGGATAGGGGTCTATCTAGGGAATAAGAATCAAGTACCAAACAACAAAACTCATGTTGATCTTGCAAATTATGAAGGTAGGACCTCCTCAATGAAATTCTTTAAACTTCTCACCTAACAAAAGGGAGCAACTTTTCCTCAACTCACACAAAAGCAAACCCCTACTATAATTAAAGCATTTGCATCTATAAAGCTAATAACAATCCCGTGTTCCCAAAAGATTTAGAGTGCCAATGATGGTCTTTTTTCAAAAGAAATTTCAATACACATCATCAAAAGAAGTTCACTAAAGCACCATCGATAAATAGTCTAACCAAAATTAAAGTTTTAAGGTGGAAATTTAAACCCTTATGGTGTTTAATGACAAATACAGTATTCCCTTCCACATTATTGTGTTTCCCTAATTGCAAACCCTTTGCCTTTTTACCATCCTAATCATAAAAGAACAAAAGATACTTTCTTTTAGTAATAAACAATCCGAATGAGAAAAATGCACACTTAAACAACTTTATGTTTTAGATAAAATATTTTGGGTTAATAAAACTCAATTGAGGGTTCTAACTTTTTTAATGTTTTTTTAATTTAAATGTCAGTAAAAGTTATACTGTATAAATATACAGTTGAATAATATATAAAAAATACGAAAACTTTAAATTATCAAGTTTAAAAGTTAAGTTGTGAATGTTGACGAGAAATTGACTATGCTATTGAAGTATAACCGGATGTCAAATGAAAATTCACTAATAAACGTTTTTTTTTATTTTTACATTTAAGCTACCAATAAAATAAATTGAAACTCTTTATAATTAATATGTTATCATTAGATTTTTTATAATTAATATGTTATCGTATAAATTCTAAAAATATTTAGAATAAACAATAAAATAAATAATTCTAATTTTATAAATGAATTATTATAATTTATGTCAAGTTAAATGTATAAGATATTTGAATTGTTAAATATTATTTATAATATTATTATCAATTTATTTGTTGATAACTAAATTACAAGGTTTTAAATTATAATATAATTATATTATATACAATTTTAAATTATAGTAATATATCTTATACAATCAAATATATAAACTCTCAATTTTATATTATATTTATAACATAATTATTATTTGTATAAGTTTTCGTTCCTTATTTGATTTTTATTATTTGTTTTCTTTTATATAACCTAAAATTTTAAATTCTGTTTTTTTTTAATTGAAACTTTTTAACAAAATTTAATATAAGAAATATTTTCATTGATTTGAAAGTATCAAAAAGAAAAGAAAATAATGTTTTTTCATTTTTATTTTAAAGGGTGAATGTATTTTTTAGAAAAAAATTCTACTTAACCTGCTTTGAGTGCGGATAAATATTTTATATATAATTAGATAAATTTTATACATTTTTAAGATATAACATTCTATATCTTGCTTTATAAACTAGGCATAACCAATTACTAATGTTTCATAACATTTTTTTTTATTATACTTAAAGATATATGTTGATCACTTATATTATTTTGAAGTAAAATATTTTATATTATATCTAAATAATAATTTAAAATATAATTTATTTATGTTATATTTGAGATAAAATATTTTATATTGTATAAAAAAATTACTCAATACATATGTATTTGTTTTATTTCAAGTTAGAGTATTTTTTTCTGTTATTATATACAAAGAGAAAACTTAGTTTTGAGTTACATGAACTCAGTTTCATGTAGTTGTATTGACTACACTTTTTTTATATTGAGTTTGAGGAATTTTTTTTATCATGCAAAAAATTAACTTAATTTTGAAACTATAACTCAAACTCATGTAATTATATTCACAATTAAAGATATTTAAAACGTAATATAGAACCAAATATTATTGTTTTATAGAAATTGAGTTGTCATGATATAATAAACTGTTAATAAAAAATTATTAAAGATGTGAAATCTCAAGAAAAATGAAATTGACTTCAAGATTCTTAACGTGGAAAGTCGAATTAAAATTAAATTAATATTAATATAATAATTTGTGGATAACAAAATTATTGAAAACACTAGATAAATTGACATAATATTAAATATAAGTTAATCATGATAAAATAGTGTATTGTTTTTCTCTGAAGAGAACAATAAAAAATCAAATAAATTTATGATATAAAATTAAATTAATTAAACTGTTTTTTATATTCAATTTGTCATTGTGAAATAATTTTAAAATGATAATTTTGAGAATAATTTACAGTAAAGATAAAATGAATAATAAAAATATATATTTTAGTTTTTTAAATTAAAAATGTAGCAAAACCTTTCTCTTTCTTAAAACATGTTTCAAAGGCCTTCTTCTGTTGATCCACCATTGTACCATGGTATCCGTACACACCTCACGAAAATATTTCCTTCCCTCATTTCACATCACAGGTTTCAAATTTTCTCCTCTGTTCTCACCTTTCCAGTTTAAAATTTAAAAATCAAAACACAATAAATAATTTTCTAAAGTAAAGGCACGTAATGGATTAATGCATAATCACCACGATTACGATCGCTCTCAGTGTGGGTGGTTTTCGATAAAACCAGAACACGAGGGGCATCTACTCGATATTCGACGTAGTGGAGGGGGCAACACCGTCAATTTACTCTTAACAAAACCCAATGCGTACCGCGCACGATAATCTTCCCCAACACGCGTCACCAACATAAGTATTCCATGATTTTCTTGGCTACACAAATCATCCCTTACACGTCGGATCCTATGTGGCATCTAAAGCCATGTCACCAACTCTACCACTTTGCTATAAATACCAATCCCTCCTGCATCTTACACCTAATCCAAAACGCTATACAACAAAACACTGCAAAGGAAAGAAAAAGAAGAAGCCATTCAACTTTCTTCATTGTTTATCTTTCAAAACCCTGATCCACCGGGGACAGGGATCTCGCCGGGAAAATGAACATTCCGGCTAAACTCTCTTCTCTGTCTATCAACAATGCACGTCTCTCCTATCATCGCCTTCATGTTTTTCACGAAAATCATGACCTCCAAACTTTATCTAACTCCTCCTTTACCTTTACTGTCTTAGTCTAGATGTTATTAAATACTTTTTCCAAAAGAATGGTACATACATGATAGAGTAGCTGTTAAAATCGATACAAGTTTTCAGGAGAGGTTTTTTTTTTCCTTGCGATTTTCCCCATTTCTTTGTTATTCATGCCTCCGATGAAGATCCAACCGATCCTGGTCGATTCACAGAAGCTACCGGTTGTTCGGAACGACGCGGTTAAGCCTGTGCTGAAGTCGCGCTTGAAAAGACTTTTCGTGTTCGACCGTCAGTTTTCGAATGTGCTGAAGACTTCCTCCTCTTCGGATAAACCCGTCGCCGGCGAGGTCCCTCAGTCCAACAACAGAGACGCGATCGAGTTCGAACCGAGCTCTGTTTGCTTGGACAAAATGGTACAGAGTTTCATAGAAGAGAGCAACGAGAAGCCTGTACCGACCACCGTGAGATGTGGCCGCAACCGCTGCAACTGTTTCAACGGCAATAATAATGACAGCTCTGACGAGGAACTTGACGTCTTTGGGGAATCGATTTCCTCTGGCTCGTTCGGCTCGTTCGGCGATGCTGGTGACGCACTCAAGGTTAATAACGACCTAACTTCTCTAATTACCGAAAGCTAAGTATCTAGTTCAGATTTTTCTCTGTATCGAGACACTCTAATTTGAATTCCGTACCTTCCTTTCTTGCAGAGCTTGATTCCTTGTGCGAGTGTTGCGGAGAGAAACCTCTTAGCTGACACATCCAACATTGTTGACAAAAACAGCAAGGTTTACAAGCGAAAAGGCGATTTGAGAAAGATAGTTACCGAAAGTCTTGTGTCTCTCGGTTACAATTGTTCCATATGCGTGTCTAAATGGGACAAAACCCCAACCTTTCCTGCTGGTAATCCATTTACTTATTTTCCCCCAAAATTTTTGAATAAAAAATTGTGGAGAAATTAATATTTTGCTGATGATTCAGGTGAATATGAATACATAGATGTGATCGTGGAAGGTGAGAGGTTGATAATTGATATAGATTTCCGATCGGAGTTTGAGATAGCTCGATCGACAGGGACCTATAAGGCTATCCTTCAGTCTCTGCCTTTCATTTTTGTTGGGAAATCAGATCGTCTCTGCCAGATTGTAGCCTCTGTGTCGGATGCAGCGAAACAGAGCTTGAAGAAAAAAGGGATGCATGTGCCGCCGTGGAGGAAGGCGGACTACATGTTAGCCAAGTGGCTATCCAGCTCCTGGACCAGGGTGAATCCACCCTCGTCCTCTACTGTCAATGGCTCGACAGAGAACTTGAGCGTCTGTGGTAGTGCTGCTTCAGAGAGTGATTGTGGTGAATTGGAACTGATCTTCGGCGAAAAAACATCATCCCAGGAGCGGGAGACTTGGTCCGGCTGTGAGAGGAGCTTACCACCCGTTGCGACGCGGCTAACATGGCAGCCGCCGGCATTGAAAGTGAGGAGTGCTGAGAAAGGAGCAAAGGTGGTAACCGGATTAGCCTTTCTTCTCAAGGACAAGCCATAGATTTTTTTTTGTATTTTTTTGAAGTAATTAAATTAAAAATATAACCAAAATATTTTATAAGAGTAAAACCTTTTGTTTTAGCTTTCAGTTTTACTCTTTTTTTTTTTTTTTTTTACTTTGCAAGGGACTCTGTAAGAAGCAACCATGTGAGTACTCTATGTAATAAATCATTAGTAAATATTTGCAGGAATCTAACTTTAAAAGAAAATAAATTTCTACATATTTCTATGATATGTTGAAAATTGCTTTTTTAATTATTTATGTTTGAATTACGTGACATTTTTTAGGAAAATAATATTTCACAATCCAAATTCATACTATTCCTATAAATAATTCTATAATGTGAAAATTTTATCAGTCTATTTTTTATGATCCAAAAATAGTTTACTTAACCATTCTGATTTGGCAGTAGTAATGTATTTATGCAGTGGTTTTAGTAAAAGGATTTCTTAACAGCTTAGTTTGTACCTTCCCGGATGGATATGTTACTACTGTCTTTGTGGTTGGGTTGTTAATTTCTGAGAGGGAAAGCAGAGATAGAGGAGTTACAACCTTTAGGTCCCTTGAAAGGAGACAAGGGGAAAACTTTTCTTTCTCAAAATTTACGCATCTTTTTATGAATTTTTTAATAGTACTAAAGTTCATTGCACCAGTAGAACGCAGTGAAGGAGAGAAGTGTAGTGATATTGGTGACGCCAGCAGAGGAAGCATAAAATGGAAGTTTGGTGGTGGCATCTCCAAATTGACTATGACTAGCATGGAAACCCCTCCTATCTTCTATCACAGGAAGGTGATTTTGTCCGTTAGATCTATAACATTTTAAATCAACTGTGGATCTTTTTGTTTTTTATTTTATTTTATATTTTTATTTATCTTTGTGTCCAACATTTTTCTCAATTCTTTTGTCTCTCGTTCTTCTTCTTGCCAACCACGTTTTTCGGTTGACTCCATGGCCACTGTGAACCATCTTATGGAGTGGTTCTCCACCCTAATATCCGTCTTCAAATAGAAAATCCGTGAGGAAGAACAGGGAATAAATTATTCTATCATTTACTCTTACATTTACAAGAAAACTTCACTATTAACAAATAGTAGAAAATGAAAAAGCTAATTCATATTATTGTTTCTCACTCAAACCCCAGATCCCCAACTGGTGAAAGGAATACGCGGCGGTGGATGATGGGTGGAGGATCCACAGTAAAAAAAAAAAAAAAGTGATAATGTGTGGGGAGGTAAACTAAGTTAATTTGACTGTGACTGACTTTTAACTTGGCATTGGGCATAGGCAATTATGGCATATTATTCCACTTTCTCACTCTGAGGGAACAGGGAAGCTTCCTTCAAATGCTTGACACGTGTGAACCATCGCATTTTTTTTTTTGTTCACTTGCATAAAAAGTGAACTAGTCTTTACGGGTAAATATTCATTTTAGATTATTTATTTATTCTTATTCGGTCAGGATCATTTTATTAACACTTTTATATATTTTTAACATATTTTACCATATTTTATTTTAGTTAAAGTCGATCTTTAAAGATAGACTATTCTTGTAAAGATTTTCTTAATTAGTATTTTCATTTCTATAATTAACTCTATCCATTTGTGAGTGTATCATCATTAATTGAAGAGAGAGACATGAAATATAGGTAACACACTAGAAACAGTTCAAACTTCTCCTTAGCCCAATCTTAAAGGATTCAAATATTGTGATTCAAAGTTTAGTTTGGAAGAAACAACTACAACTGGATACAGTGTAGTTCTAACAGTAAATTTAACTAAACTATGTATAAGTTTAGTTAGCAATTTTTATATTAAAATTGAACTAAAAAACAGTTCAGTTTAGTTTTTGATAAAAATAATTAAGTTTTTTATTTAGTTTAATTAAGTATTTTTTGGTTGTTTTTAACACCCTATCAAATACATTTGTTTAGTGAATTTTGTGTATTAATTTTTAGTTCGTATATATTTTTATAATTTTCTATTGTTTATTCACACACTTAGATTGTTTTTATTACATTTTAGTCTAGCCAAAGGCAAGCTTTAACTTCACGGATTTGGAATGAAATTTGAAACTAGACTTTATCCCTTTTGAGTTAACATTTTAGTTTGTTTGTACGCAATACTTTTATTTATTTTTGGTGAATACATGTTATAGACAATCCAATACAAATACAAATAAAGTTGGTCTCAATGATTGTAGTGGACTTTAGCAAAGACATAATGTACATACCCTACAAGGCAATATTCTAGAATTCGAAAAAAAGTTTATAACTGGTTATTTATTTTTTCTTTAAAACTGGTAAAGCTAGTAGCAAAGCTGTCAGAGATATTATGAGAAAAATTGTGGGGTCCCCTCTACTCTATTTCTTCTGTGACACCTATTCCTATATTTATATATAAAACTATTAATTAATCAAAGCATATTTGATAAACAGCTAATATATGAGGTATAAAATTGTACATTATAGAATATATATATATATATATATGACCTTTCTCATTTGGAAAACTAGAATAGATGACCTTTGTATTACTTGTTAGATCAAGCTTGCCGCAGAGTTAAAATATATAACTAATTATAAGATATTAGAGCATGACTTTATTATCTTAAGTTTAAAGTTTTATCTAATTTAAGGAATCATGCTATTTTACAAACAATAGATTAAGATGTTAAAATTCATCAAATTAAGAAGATGATGTTCAAATTAAAGAAACTCAATAATAATTTTTTTATAAATATTTAACCTAGGTACCACAATATTAGTAAGTATTATATTATACCAGAACTTTAATAACCTCATTAGTAATACTTTGTCGGGCTCTCCAGAAGAAATTTAGAAGAAAAATTACATGAATTTTTTCATAATTTTAAAAATTATAAAAAATAAAGAAGATTTTTTATAAATTAATAAATACATAAAGTAATTTTAATTTATGAATATTTTTTCTAAAATTATTATGAAAAAGTTTTTGCAAGCAAAAAAGTTCTATCACGTACTTCATACAAAGTTTAAAATATTTTTTTATAAGAAAATAATTTAATATACTTTTAATAATATAAATATTCAATAAAATATATTTAATACTTTCATATCATATTAGTAGGATGGCAAGATAACCCTTCTCCATGAATAATGAATAAAATATTTTATTAAAATTAACATAATATGTTGATAATAATATTAAATACTATATTTTTGATAAAAAGTTTGATTTAAAATATTTTAGTAATCAGTTCCATTAACTATAATATCTAAAGAATCAATAATAATTTGTGTTCTTAAAATGGATGTATTATTAATATTAATTAAGAATAAAAAATAAATATTTTAATATAAGTAGTACTTTTTATAGCTCTCTTTACCTCAACATCACTTCTTAACAAAATTAATCCATATATTAAACATTTGTGTGGTATATCTATGGAGTCAATAAACATTTATTGGTCCATTTTGGTGCTACTTGGGCCAGATAGCGGGCATTCCGTCCGTAGGACTTTGACTAATTAATGTTATTGGAGAATGGGAATCAACCACTGTCTCATTATGTGACAAAAATTCATTACAAATTGGAGAAAGAACAAGGACAACCAAAATTAATGTTACCCCCCAAATTTGTAGCATCAGTTTTGCTCTCCTATCTCTTTAATTTTCTTTATAACAACTATATTTACAAGTTCTTCAGACATTTCTCAAGCTAAATCACCATTCCAAATGGCAAAAGAGAAAGGTCTTTTATCCCTCATTAAGAAACTCTAACCAGTTAGTTGGGTTTGGCAAAATATTGCTTTCTAAATGCAAGCAATGGGTGTGAGATAGAGATAGTAATAGTTTTATCTACATGTAATTTCTTGTCAGAAGAAAATGGTTCTTTACTTATGAGTTTTCAGATATTGCCTATTGTTACTCACAGGAAATAAATGCTTATTATCTTTCTGCCACTGAATCATATTTATTATATACTTATTTCATTTTACTTTTTCTCCTTGGATCTGTCTTAAACTGAAATTGCTACTTTTATGTGTAGTTAGTGTGGTGAAGAAATAATTATGAAACATCAAGAAGGAAATGGCAAAATATTCATTAACCTGTTGAGTAGAAGACAGCTTGCATTAGAGCTTTAGGAAAGGATATATCACAGGAATCAGAGAAAATCAGAAAGAAGTAATGATATTAGCCTTGGCTCACTTGGATCATCAGCTTCAGCATATAATGCTTACCTTTCAAGTTTTGTTTCTTTAGCTAAAGGAATCCTAGAAACTAGTGTGATGATCTCAACACAATAAATGATATTTGCAGATGGCAAGTAAGAAATTCAAGGGTCTTAGCGACATCAAATATAATAAACATATTTTACTTTATGCAACTTCATGTTTTTTTATTTGTTATGCCATACTGCATAAATTAAAAATTACAATCAACCCTTTTTATCTATATTATTAACTTTTTGGCATTTTCTTTATGTGTCCTTTATCTCTTTCTTTATAATTATAATGATAACAGAATATTTCAAATAATAGATAAGTAAAAATAAAATTTTTCCTCTGAAATAATAATGGGTAAAAGAAAAACGTTTTCAAGAAAAACTTGTGCCTGTGGCATAGTACCAGTGCTTCCACAGTGGTTGTTTGTTGCACTGTGCCAGTAACATGTTTGTCAAAATGAAATGACCATTTTGCTATCTTTAGTTTTCTAATTAAGGCTTATCGCTATTTTATTTTCCAATTCCTCGCCACTTACAAAGATCTATTTTCAGTTGGTGATAACATGCCAAACAAGCAGTCATGTCACGTTGACACAGACCAGAATTGTTTTGCAGCAGCAGCAACTGTGATTGCCTTTTCAGGTACTCACAGCGCTACCAAGATTTTGTTAGATAACAGAGTTTAGAGCATTTAATACACAGAATTAAACCAAATACCTACTATATAATTGGTTCAGCTTCTAATTTGTCATAATGTGGACATCATCGTCTAGTCACTAGTGAATATTTTTTTATTTAGGAAGGTACTCTTTTGAGCACTGCTTAGCTGGTACTAAAATGTAGGTGTTTCGCTTATCTCCAACTGATTAGTACTCTATCGTGTGAGTGGGTAAACCAATTGTTCAACATCAAACTTAACCTCGAACAATGTTTGTAGGTGGTAGAAATTCCTAATGAGATCACTTGTTTAGTTTGAGACTTGAAACAAATACCACTATTTTATTTAGTTGGAAGCAAATTTTGAATCAAGAGACAAACTAATTCCATGATAGATAGATAGATAGAGGAGTACTGAGAAGCAATCAAGAGATTGTGGAGAACACAAATGGAGATTAATTTCAATGTGCTATTTGTTAGGAAAGTATTTGCACAAATGAGTAGTGGCTTTTAGCAGAAATCATGATGTTTGATAATAGAAAATGAGAATTAAGCAGTGCTTGGCATGGACTGCAACACTACAATAGCACAAGGTATGTTTTGTGTACATTGTCCAAAGCATCTTAAATTGTCCATCGGTGAGCTCGGAATCTCCGCAATAAAGTTTGTGATCCTACAGGAGTAAAATAATACTTCTCCCAACTAATGCCTCTGATTTGATAACCACTTTACCTTTAAGTACTTAAACTTCAAAGTTCTATTACTATGGTACCCCACACATCACACAAAAACAGATATAGATAAAGACAAGAAAGATGTGAACTCACCTTCATATTGATTTTAAAGTGTATGAGTGTGGCTTACTAACTGCAAAAATACATATATTTGAATATCAGAGTAATATGAAAAATCTAGAAGAACATCGAGAAACAGTTATATTGAAAAGTTATTTAATAAATTTTATGATGGTATGTAAATGAAATTACACAAATCGCATAACCGCTGTGACATTAACATATTGGAACAGCTAATGCTACAAATTTTTGCAGGGTCAAGGAAAGCACCTACTGCAGAAGCATTAATCAGCAGTAATGGTGTGAAAAGCACTTATTATGGTGCACTATCGACCCATCAACCAGCTGATAGGGGAAAACAAGGTTGGCATAATTAATATCCGGAGATAAGAATAAAGCATTACAATACATTTTGCTGTTTCATGATTAACAAACAGATAAGTGGTCCAGATAAGATTACCCTTCTTTTGTTTTTCTCATTTACTCCCTTAGTTTGTAGCTGGTTGGGCCCTTGCTCGAGAAAATGATGTGAAAAGCTGGAAACTGTACTGACTATTATGTATACAGTTTTATATACTTCTAGTAGGCAATTAAACAGTGTTAAAGCATATTTGGAAACAAGATTATAACTTACTGACACAAGCCTCAATGTTAAAAGGCTGAGTTTAATAGTATAATTTGAAAAGTTTGATCCTAATTGAGCCACCAATGTAGAGACTCAGCCAATTTATTATGTTATACAGGAATCATAAAATCATTACTTACACCCTGCAACTTAGCTGACATTAATACTGTGCACCAACTATGTCACTTCTGTGTAAAATATACGAAGTGCCTAAAAACTTGCCACATCTTTATCTGCTTTAAGCTCATGCACACCTGAGAATATCAGAGACACCAAAACCTATTGATATCAACTTGCCAAACCTTGAATCAAGGCACTAAAGTAAATAACCCCACTAAACCAAATTTGTCAGAATATAATAGTAAAGGAACAAAACACTATTCTCAAAACCAAAGAATGGACAGGGCAGTAAATTTAGTACCTTTAAACTATTATTTAGATCCTACTATATTCAAGCAATTAAAGAAGAGGTTTTTAAGCAGCTTTATATGACTTCTACCCATATGGGTTCCTTTGTTATGTTTCATATAATGTTGCTGTAAAGTCCTCCATAAGCTGTAGTTGAGACCTTGACATGTTTTGGTTCCTTATGTCTAATACAAACCATTTCAAATGGCTCACTAGAGCTAATTACTGTCTTACGTTGTACTACTTAAGTAGTGTATAGAGCATTGGTCCAAACTTTTCACCATGGTACTAATTTAAATGAAAATTCTGTAGCAGTAAATAATAGGTATTTTCTTTATCTTTCAAACCAACTCTTGTACAATAAATCTAGTAACCTAAAAACACCAGCTTCTTAACGTAATAAATTATACTACTTCTAATAAAATTAATGGTAGTCAGTACTCAGTAGTCTACTTTCTGACAATGTACACAAACTGACAATTTGATAATGTAAGCTATGAAATGTTAGTATGCGTACATTGTGTAGCTACAGTCTAAGAAATATTTGTACTTGCTTTGCGCAAAGTATTTTGAAATTATAAATCTAAACGAAAAATGGAAATGTAAGCAAGGATATTCGAGTTGCATTTGTATTTGAATATATTTGTACTTTTCACCTAGTCAAATAAGATTTTTTTTAATCTCCTTTTCTTTGTTTTCTCTTCAAAAAAAATGTCTTCAACTTTTTTTTTTTTTTTTTTCATCTATGTTCACCATCTTTTTAAATATTATATACCCTGTTTTCCCCCTCTTTACCAAACAGGACCAAGTGAGATTTACAATTACCCAACTGAAAAAGCCCAAAGCTCATTAGGCTGACCCACACTTCAATAGATTTAATTTTGGGCTTAATATTTGGATTGTATTAAATCCCAGAAAAAGACCCAAAGATCCATTAATGTAAAGCCATTCTTTTTATGTTCAATAGAACACTGCTAAGTGGGCTGTTAATGGAATAATGACCATGGGTGATCGATTGACCCGGTATTGTATATAATGAATTTGTAACCATTAACTTCTGAGGCATATTTTAAAAACTAAGAAAATATTACGTGCAAAATTAAAATGTAATACGTACTCTCTTTATCAATAAAACTCTATACTTCTTTTAGTAGTTTAAGATCAGTCACGAGAGGGGCCTTTCTAGAAATTTAAAGTTCAAAAGAAAAACTGGGGTGTGAAAAGAAAAAAGGTAGTGTGCGTTGTTTTATGCTGGAAATAAGGAACAGTCAAATTTGATGTTATAAAATATCAATGTTTGGTAATCACAAGGTAAATTGATTTTGCTTCACAATTTAAATTTGACTAAAAGAATAAAAAGCGAATTTTGCTCTTAACACAATTTTTTATAATAAAATTACTTTAGGATAAAAAACATATAAACATAAACTACGCCATTTAAAGATGAATTATACATGATTAATTTTAAAATGCAAAATCAAACAAAGTCACACACACGTACCACAAACTGCGCACTTTTGACATCAAGCGTTGTCAAACAGGGGACAGAAAAAACCATCGTCGAGGAAACATGAATAAGGAGGATTGCAAAATGACAGGGTATTTAAAAGCATAACATATTGCTTATATTCTTCGTACGATGAATAAACAGCGAGTCAAAATTTGAAGTTTAAAAAACAGAGACAGTGAAACAATGTCTAAGAGCAGTTTTAGGTCGCAGGAAAACAAAATCCAATTATCCAACTCTTTTAATCTTCCAAGATCTCAAACCTATCATTGGAAGTAATGAGTTGCACATTTTTGTAGAACCCATCAAGGCCATTCTCTTTGTCTGCTGCACTAGACAAAAATAGTGATCCAACACTCCCAGATTCTGTGGCATATGCTATAGAATCTACAACTGCATACTCAGCCTTCCAATTTCCAGTAGGACCATATATGTTGTGGAACCACGCATTATATTAAAAAATAACAACAAATTATTCTTTGTATTATTTGAATAAGTCCTCATTGATAATATTCTCTAGACCATAAGCAACCAAATGCAATATTAAAATAAAAACAAGACTTCAGAACACTACGATGAAAAATTGATAGCAGTTGACAGAAACCTCAGCAAGCAAAGCATAAGATTGTTTCAAGCTTAATTATTCTGATTCCCTTTTGAAAATTTTCTCCAATGGCATAAGAAAAAGCACGTAGATAATTAAGGATAAGTGCAGCAGAGAAAAACGCGTAACCAATGAAGATAATGTGCAGCAGAAACTCCAGAATTATCATCTACACCCATTCAGGCAAAAGTACGTCAACCCACTGAGTCAAGTCTACACAGAGACCCATAGCGCATATATATATATATATATATATATATATATATATATATATATATATATATATATATATATATCAAGATGGATCAATCATTTCAGACCTGATTTAATACGAATCAATAGGTTTCTGTTGTTTTACCTCCACAACCAAGGCAACTTAAATTTATTAGCTGCCCCTGAAAAGGCCAAATAAATAGGTGTGAACCTCCATTTCAGTCCCCCCAAAATACAAAGTGTCACTATTTTAGTTATTCAGAGAATTTTATATCAATCTCAATCACTGTATCATGTGAAGTTAACATCAATTAATTTTCTTTATCATTATTAACGCATCAATGTGGTCCCTTATGTTGTGTCCGGTTTGGAAAAAATGAAAAAAAAAAAAAGTTGAAAAGAAGAAATAGGTAAAAAATAAATAAAGAATTTAGTTGTGTTAGAGAAATAAATGAAAAATACAAATGGAATATTTTGAAAATTTTATAAATTAATTGATTTAATAAAAAAAAATGATAACAAGGATAAAAATATGTAAGAAATAGTATAATGAATAGAATCTCATACATTATTTCTTCTTTCATCTCTCTTTACTAAATATACAAAATAAATTCACTCCTTCTACATCCTTTCCCCTCCACACCACCAAAACACACCCTTAATCTTGCTTTCAGTATACCAAAGAAAGATGTTAATGTCACCTTCCATGATTAAAGAACTTGATTGATGTCATAATTATTTATAGGAACAAAGTGATGACACTTCTATCTTGAGCTTAAAAGACTAAACTAGGATTTAGTTCATTAATTATGATCTCCATGTCAAATAAGAAAATGGGCCAGCAATTCGTTCCGGATGCACAGTGAAGTTAATTATTTCAAGTGGAACCACCATGGTGGTGGGCACTGGGTAGCACTATCTGATTTCAGATAAGTTAATGATTCCTTTTAGACAGGCTGCACGCCGTGACTGAAGGACAACTTTCAGCGGTTGAAGGACAGGCTGAAATTACACACGTCTGAGATCAGCTGGTAACCTTGGATGCATCAACTGTCAAGGAATGACCAAAACAAACTCTCCTAGCTAACTCACCAACTTCACAATACCATGCTTGTTACTTTCACTAGATCAGAAACTAAACTAACATGTTAGATAAATTTCGGCTATATTTCTGATACCAAATATCCCTGGTTGAAGAGAATACATACAGATGAAAACAACATATCCTAAATCACCATTGGGTTAAGTTCGCCTACACAAATTTCATCCAAACATATAGTAAATGTTTAATAGAGGACGAGAGCGAGTCATTTGTTCAAGCAACTTATGCAGATAGCTTGAGATGGAAACTGAAATTTTTTGTTTTAAAAAACAAAAACATTGAGCAATGCAGGTGAATATGAGTCGACAAGAGCTTAAACGTTATCAAAAGGGAATGCTTCTCAGTTCTCTGCTAAAGACGGAGCCCAAAAAAGCTTCCTCAGTTAAGGTAAAAGTGCAGAAAGGGTTCCTGGGCATTACAGAGTTCCCGGATACCAAGTTCCAACATCTCACAACACTCCCACAAGTAAATGACGAAAACAAATGGGAAAAGGAAGAGAAAAACTTGAAATGAGAAACAAACCCTTGTAAGTTGCAACCCCACTTGAGGCATTTCATGTCGTCTCACTCCTTTGTCTCCCTGTACCATGCAAATCTGCAACATGCCCAGCTCTTGCCCAACACCACTCCCACCACCTCATAATTTTCCACACCCACCAACCAATTCCCAATCTTTTCCATCGATCACGGCTAGGGTTTCAAGTTTCAACTTCAACGAGGTACTTTCTGCTGCAGAGCGACCCCATCCTCCATCCACCCCCAACTCTAAGCTTAGTAAGTAAAGTAGTAAATAAAAGTAACCAACCAACCAACCAACCAAACCAAAACAAAACAAAAGTGCCACTAGTGAGTAAAGTAAAGTAACATAACATGGCTACTGTTATGAACGAGAGAGTAAATTAGTAAAAAAAGCCTAAAAGGGTTAATTAGTCAACAAGATTTAAAAAACAAACAGAAACAAAAGGTGAAAGAAAACAGTGAGAGAGAGAGAGGGAGAGAGATGAAAGAGATATTTATGATTTATTTTGGTGAGAAAAGTGCGCCCACACATGGCAGCTGTCTCCAGCCCATGTTCCCTCCCTCTCTTCAAATCCACTTAAATATCCTTCTTACCATATTCACTCTCACCCCATCACACACCATTCCTTCACTCACTCTCTTTCTCACTTATCACCATGTCATTATTCCCCAACTTGCTCCTCTTCTCCTTCCTGCTAATTGGTGTGTGCAATTGCAGAACTACACAAAAAAATGAAGAGGTGCATATGCAAATGCAAACACAAACCCTAAACACAAACCCAAGTCACTTCAACCCGCAGGTCCCACCACTCCGAACCCTCTCTTCCTCCAAGCGGTTCGAGGGGTCCTCAGAGTTCGTGAAGCTCAAATACCACATGGGGCCGGTGTTATCTTCTCCGATCAACATCTACCTCATCTGGTACGGCAAGTGGCCCCAATCGCAGAAGCTTCTCATCAACGACTTCCTCCTCTCCATCTCCGCTTCCGATCGCCGGGTCGCCCCCTCCCCCTCCGTCGCCGACTGGTGGCAAACCGTCTCCCTCTACACCGACCAGACCGGCGCCAACATCTCCCGCTCCGTCTCCATCGCCGGCGAGTACTCCGACCTCCACTACTCCCATGGCACGCACCTCACGCGCCTCTCCGTGCAGGAGGTCATCGCCAACGCCGTCCGCGCCAAGCCCTTTCCCGTTGACCACCGCAACGGGATCTACCTCATCCTCACGGCGGAGGACGTCACCATGGAGGACTTCTGTCGCGCCGTTTGCGGCTTCCACTACTTCACCTTCCCCTCCAAGGTAGGCTACACGCTCCCCTACGCCTGGGTTGGAAACTCCGGCAAGCAGTGCCCAGAGGTCTGCGCCTATCCCTTCGCCGTCCCAGGCTACATGGGCGGAGGCGGCCCCGGCCATCTCACGCCGCCCAACGGCGACGTTGGCGTGGACGGCATGGTCAGCGTCATCGGCCACGAGCTGGCGGAGCTCTCCTCCAACCCCCTGGTGAACGCCTGGTACGCCGGCGAAGACCCCACCGCTCCCACCGAGATCGGAGATCTCTGCGAGGGCCTCTACGGAACTGGTGGTGGTGGTGGTTACATCGGGTCCGTTATGAAAGATGGAGAAGGGAGAACGTTCAATCTTAACGGTAGAAACGGTAGAAAGTTTCTGGTGCAGTGGATTTGGAGCCCCGTTTTGAAGGCCTGTGCTGGCCCCAATGCTTTAGATTGAATTCACTTCATACATTACATAGTCACTCCAATTGCTCCTCTTTTTCCCCTACTCACCATGTATCATACCTGATGATGCTCTATCATTTTTTTTTTATTTTTTTCATTTCCCTTCTTCACGCACCAATTTCATTTATATTATTACTATTCTCATAACTTTCTCAATTTTTTTAGCATTTGAATCCCTCAGCTGATTAACAATTGCCTATGAATTCTGCTCTGGGGTGACGTAGAACTAGAAGGAGGACTCAGATATGCTTCTCTGAATACATGAAATCTTTCATTCTTAATCATGGAAAAAATCTAAAGCCAAGCACTGTACACTTATAATAATTGAATGCCGATGATATTAATAAAATATAGACACTTTTTCAAATTAGATTCTTTTATAAAATAAAAAAATATATTCCGTAAATATCACTGTCTCAGATATCATATGATGATCACTAAATTGTTGACCAAAAATTGTATAAATAAGTTTAACCTAATTAATCTATTATTTCTGTATTATGAGTGTAGTTAAAATTACTAAAAGTAAGGGATGATTAGATTACGCTGGGCAATAATCGTAAATAGTTTTATCTTGTGTACGATAATGGTATCAGGGAATCTGGTGTTATTACAGTGAAGGATGAAAGTAGATTTTTCTCTGACTTCTTGAATAGGTTAGGTTATAGTTAAATGATTTCATTATGCAATCATCTATAGTTTTAATCGCATTCGTGGTGTTCTACCTAACATGCGCAGGTACTCTCTTTCTACATTTTGATTATAAACTTGAATGTAACTTTTTAATATGTTGGTTACTACATCAATTTAATTTAATCTATAAGAATAAAGAAGGCAATAATTGGAGAAGGTATTTGGCATGAGTTAAAGTTTATGAGTGTATTTGATTTAGAGGTAGTAGTGAAAGGTGCAGATGGAAAAAGAGCAATCCCCCACTTAAGCACGTGGTAATGATGGCATTGATAATGTTTGTGTTGTGTGTGTTCCTTGATTGTAGGTAGGTTTTTGGCAATGTTTACTTTTGGTTTTGACATTATTGGATTGGGTGAATGGGCAGAAGAAAGATGAAAAATATGTTGACGATGGCGACGGTGTTAGCCAGTTGAGGCCCACTTTGTTGTCCACAGCTAATCACATGTCCTACTCTCTGCACTGCACAATTACAAATAACACCACCCAACTATTCATATTTATGTCTCTCACTCATCTCCACTTTCAAATCTTTTAGCTCCTAAATCAACAATTATCGACTCAACAACCATCCGTACAACATCAATTTTAATTGAAACACACTTTTCCTCCAATCATCTTTCAGCTGGTTTCGATCAAATATGTTTTACATACAATCTTTAATTCAGTTTCATATAATAAGGCTCACAATGCTGAGCTTCTCACTCACTTTCTACTCTTGTTTTCATCTTTCATTTTCAAATTTTATTTCCAATAAGGAAATAGTAAGAAAACTTCGCACTTGTTCATTGCATTTGCACAGGGGATCAAAATATGTTTTATATTTTTTTCTATTAATCCTCTTTAATGATACAATCACATATTTTTAAAAAGGTTTTTAAAGCATCACATAAAATATTGTTAACACAAACACGTACCTATTTATAAAATTGATAGAATAATTATACCATTTAAAATTTTAAGAACTAAAACTGAATCTGATCAAATTCTAGTTATTACAAGTGTTTTCTTTTCTTTATAACATTTTTTAGTGTATATTTTATTGTTGAATAAAATTTATTAAGCTTAAAAGTAAAAAATCAATTATTAAATGGAAATTAAATCGAAAAATTTTATTTCTAACAAAAACATATTATGGTAGTGTGCGGGCATGGTCGTATATAGCGTTGAAAAGGTGTTAAAAAACAAGCTTGTGTGCTTGTCATGTTGTTTTTATTATTATTATTATTATTATTATTATTATTATTATTATTATTATTATTATTAGCAATTATAATTTTCACGGCCTTTATTTTTATTTATTTATGTGACCAAACATTTTTTTTAATGCCTCTCCAAACATATCTATAAGTAGTGTGATTCACTATTTTTTTTAGTGGAACCTAATTCTTTTTCAGAAATTAAGTCAGACATTTGAAAAAAAAATGAAATAATGTAACTTTATACATAAAATGAAATAGAATTTAAAAAAAAGGTAGAGTTTTTTTTACGCTTTCTTTCTCGTTCTCAAGTACAAAGATTATATTTATAAAAAAATTATATCAATTCAATTATTAGTTAGTATTCGTATACACTAAAATTGTATAATATATATTTTTAAATATAAGAGAATACGAGTAGCTTTGTTATTTTTTCTATTTCTGTTTTTTTTTAAAATACAATACAAATAATCAAATAATTATATAATTATAATTTAATAATTAGATAATAAAATTAACATTTTATATTTTTTTCTATTAATTTTCTCTCTGGAGGTAATTTTTTTGGAGAAGTATGTAAGTTTTGATTGTTTATTATTTTTAAAAATAATTTTTATTTACTCTTTCGTTTAAAAAAAATAAAATATTAAATAATATTTTTAACTTATTTTTAATTTTTGTTTTTTATAAAATTGTTTTTTAAAGCTCTATTTTTAAAGACTAAAAAATAAAACTAAATGTAACAAATATTAAAGATAAATTATTTTTGTTTTCCAACGAAAATTCAAACAATAATTTATCACAAAATAAAGCTATCGATAATGTAATAATTTAAAACTTCATTACTTCTATGCTAGAATTAGAGGTTTTGACGTAGAGACTTTGGGTGTATATACCCTTTATTAGGTCTATCTTAGGGTTATAAGCGTACCTTCACGATGAGTATTTTATTTTTTTTTTAATTTATCAAAATCATTATCTCAGGGCAAGAAGCCTACCCTCATGCACAACCTTTAATTTTAGGACACTAATTTTTTGTTCACACCACTGTTCATCCACACATCCAATCTACAATCTCATAATAATAATAATAATAAATAGATAAATTTAATTTTTTTTATTAATATTGTATTTATTAAAATGAGTTGCAGAATAGTATTTGTGGGGAGAGGATTGCCAACTTATCATTCTTCTTAATTTGAAAGCACTTATACCGAACATCGCAATAGTAGAAAGTTGTGTGAATTTGATTTCTTAAAAAATGAAATCATAATATCCTTTTGTTTAGCATATTTTTAAAATAAAAGAATAAATTAATATTATTTTTTGATTAATCAGATAATATCATCTCCATTTTCTAAGGAATAAAATTAAGAGACACAATTAACATTATTTTTTTTAATTAATAAGATTAGTTCTTTGGAATTAGACTGAACGAATACTTTTTCTTTGTCTTTTTCCATTGAACAAAAAGTTAGAGAGCTACAACTGTTCTAAGACATTAATTTATAAATAAAAACGAAGGGTTTTGTTTTGTA